TAATTCGCGGAAGTGACATCCGTTTGCGCAGAAAATAACGGAAATCGTTGACTTAAATTAAATTTTCCTCTCTCCCAACGTGGAACTACGTTGTTGCTCTTGCCACGCCAGGCTTAGCAGAGACCAAAACATTCGACACTCGAAATTCCGTAAATATTCGTTTAATCAAACGTTGATAGGGAGAGGTACGAATTTTATTTCGGAGATCGAGATGGTATACTTTTAACTAAATCGGAAACACGAGAATATCTAATCCTCTTAACAAAATTCCGAATTTATTACTCCAAAAAAGAAAAAAAAAACAGAAAAATGAAGAGAATAAGATTTCCCAAAAATAAAATTTCCAACTAGGTATCGATCTCAACAAAATTCCTCTACTATTCCACGAAGGGGGAAAAATTCGGAAAAATAACAAAAATAAAATTCGATCCAAAAATTCGTCTTTCTAAATAACCTTAACAAAATTGCGAATCTATTATCCTAAAAAGGAAAAAAAGATAATAGGACTTCCCAAAAATAAAATTTCCAAACACGTATCTATCTCAAGAAAATCCCCCTATTATTCCAGGAAGAGGGAAAAACTCGGGAAAATGACAAAAATAAAATTCGTTCCAAAAATTCGTCTTCCTAAATATCAACCTTACCAAAATTCCACGTTGGTCATGTTACAAAAAAGAAAAATAACAGAAGTTAGCTAGAATGTAACTAATCTGTTTAACCATCGATCCTAACAAAATTCCGCGAAGAATAATAATTTATTCGTCATTCTGCGAAAAATAATAATAGTACAAAAAAAGAGGGAGAAAATGCAGAAAAATCTATAAAGTGAAGGAAGGGGGACATTTCTAAAGCATGACGCACGAGCGCCTCGTTGCACGGCGATTATTAATCGCACCAATTAGAGGATCGTCCTTAGAGATTCAATTCGGTTAACAGAGCAGGCCGACTTTTGAATCGACGTCGTGGCCAACAAACAACCGCGATCCCTCTAAAACGCTCTCTGTATTAGGAAGAATTGTGTGCACGACGAGTTACCACGATCACGCTAACTTACTAAGCGCCAGAGCCACCGTTTCCCTCTGTGTCAACCTGTTGGATCGGATCCGTGGGCCCCGGGGGCGGCTACCTGATAAAAATGTTCGCACACGAAGAGGAAAGAACGTGCACGGACCTCGGACAATAGTTAGGTAGGGTTGAATCATCCTAGGACTTCGGTTAATTCATCCTGTTTTATATTGGTATGCACGACCGAGGCTAGCTTCCATGGAGATAAACTTCCTCCATGCAAATCGAATCGTCTCCCTTCAAAGGATAAGATCGATGTAGCGCCCTACGTGATTTCCGGTCTCTGGTCTTAAAATCGGACCCGACAACGCTGGATTATGAGTAATGGATTGCTTTTCAGCGGAAGAATGGAGATACGACAGCTAGTCCGTGACCCGGTTACATTAGGTGTTCTTATTTTTCTTCCTCCATTCTTATTTTTCTTTTCTTTCTGGCATATGTGTATGCATGTTAGGAATCAGAATGGGAAATTCGAAGTTCCACGAGCTAATCCGCTGTCGTGGATTAATCTTGGAACCCTCGTAAGATGTACCGTGGTACCCTAGTCTCCTGATACCTCGTCCGAGACACATTAGCTCAACCCTGGTACTCTTACCTAGGGAGTTTTCCCTCTTTTCTTTGCCTCTTCGTAAAGGAAATTTAAGTTGGGCGAGTGGGAAATTGATTAGTTGACTTTTGGATTCTTTTGGATAAGCAATTTCAATTTTTTGAGAGATACTATGCTTTGGATCCTTATATTGGTGTCCAAGATCTGATTTGTCATTTGTTAATTTATTATTTCGTTAATCAGGGAGACATTTCTTAATTATGTATATTTCTCGTTGCAGAGACGCGATGATTAGAGGTTAGTTTTAAGTTTGAGGTTAGGTTCGAAGCTTCGCGCTTTTTTGGTGCAATCATGAAGGCCTCGATGAGCTATAGTTTGTTGTTCAGTCTCATTTTTAATTCGGTAAGGAATAATTAGGATAATTTAAATAATTCTTCGACCGAATTAAAAAATTCTTAAAGTATTAGGTTAAGCTGTGATTCAAAATGGCTGATCGAAGAAATTTTGATTTCTCACCTGTCAGATTCGTTTCGTTCCGACGTATGAAATACGATGCTACTTTAAAATGTAATGGTATCGAATTGGAAAGAAATTTAATCGACTCCGGGATAGTATCACTTATTCCCATCGAACGTGGTTTTAATTACCGTGTCGTTAATTAATCCGGGCTCCAGAGGGAAGAAAAGGTAGGAAATTTGATTGCTCATTACGCAAATGGAGAGCAGGAATTTTCTTCTTTTTCGTCGAGCCTTCGCTTTAAAACCTGCCCACTACAATGACCCACTCGCCGGTTTTGCTCGATATATCGATTCTCCGGGGACAACAAGAGGAGTGCCCCGTGAGGAGCTTGCTACCTATTTCGAAATAAGAAACGCGTCTGCTACGATTCGAAGAAAAATAATATCGCAAAAAGAAATTAATAATTGCAATCACTCTAATTTCGAATAATTTTTATTTATTTTTATTTTAACAACGAGCACCACGCGAATTTTTTGACTCGTTTATCATCGGAGAATATTTTGAGAACATTTTTGTCACACTATACGAGGATTATAAAATTATTCTTTCGGAAACGTAATTGAAAAATTATTTCGTTAGTTTTAAATTATCACGTGAACGGATTTTACATCGTAGTCGATAATTAATGTCACTAAAATTCGATTAGATTCGTATAATAATTAAATTACATTCGTAATTTCGACGTGCACACTCGGCGAGTTCATGAATATTTATTCTCAACTTTATCGAATGGATTTATGGTAGAAAGTTATTTTAAAATTATAAATGGAAAGCTATTTCTAAAATGACTTTTACTCGGGTCACAGTGCATTCTGAGACCTATAAAAAGTGGTTATCTTTCGCAGCATGTTTTGCCATTTAAAAACCCCAGAAAAATTTATTTAATTCGAATAATAAATCTTTACAGATACCTCCTTAAATTTTATTCCAATACTTTAAACGAATCCGATCAATGATTTTTCCTAATAACCCTAAATAATTATCAAACTGAAATAAGAAAACACTAAGCCTCTAATTATCAAATCGACAAATAATGTCTAAAAGAAAATATTCCTCTATAAAATATCTTTTATCCATTTTCTTATTTAAAACGTTCAAGTATAACTTCATCAATCTCGTAATTATTCCTGTCATCGGATTTTACACAAAAAAAAAAATCACGTTAATTAATCTTCCCAAACAACTTTCGAAATTTGTCTCGAGGGTTTCACAAGTTCGTTCGATGATTTCTCCGAGTTGCATGAAATTAATCGATGAAACATAGAGGTACGAGAGATAGGGGTTAAAAGGGTAAAGGGGTTATGCGAAAACGTGTCGGTGGTGACGGGATCGCAATGAAAGTCAATAAACCATGATGAGTAAGAGAGAGTAACAGTCGGAGTGGTATTAATAAATTAGTGTCTAGTTGCTACAAGCAGCGAGAGCAGCAGCAACAGGAGCATCAACAGGAGATGGTGGAATTGCAGATAGGGGAAAGGAGGAAGAATAGGAAGTGGTAGCTGCAATGACAGAGACTACGATGAACAACGATCAACCATCGATTCTATTTCCCGCGAATTTTCAAACTGTTCAATCCTTTCAAGATTCCATTTACGACAAACTTAGCAAAATTTGTCTTTCTCTATTAGATATATTTTTTAATTATTCTGGGGGGAAATTCTAGGAAATATTTATTTAATAACAAAATCATTTTTCCTTATTAAATTTACTTTCAAATTATTTTTTTGTCTCTTAGAACTTCCCCTTCAAATTTGTACCGAATTTCACAAAAATATTTTTTCTCTGCTATGTTTGTTTTTGGGAAGTCTTCGGGAGTCTCCTGCATTTTTATTAAAATATTTTATGCACTGTTTGGAAGAGAAAATTGACTTTCAAAAATTTGGGAAGAATGAAATAGCTGGATTTAAAATTTTGAGATTTTTAGGAGTTCGAAAGCGAAGGTGGTGGAAGTGCTATGTGTAATCCTTTGTCTTCAACCTTTGACACGGTGATAGAATAGAAGAATATGTATGTAAGTAACGAATGATAGTCGAGTCATTTCTCTTGCTCCTTCGTACCGACACACGAGGAGCTTTCTATGACTTGTAATTCTAAAATTGACTACAACAACCTTTTATCCAATTTTAATATTTGATCAGAGCGAAGCCATTTAAGCTTCCCAAACCGAAATCTGTCCCCTTTATTTTGATTCCAGTTGGAGCTAATTGACGAATGTTTTGTAAGCACTCGGATGTTGTGGATAGAACGAAACGTGGTTTGATATGAACAAAAATTCGTGTACGATAAATGACACGGTTTAATTTATTATACGATATACCACTGTGCTGTATGATATGTATAGAGTGTCCTGGTTTCTTCTCGATCAAATTTTCTCTCGATACTTTTACGAGTACACGAATCTTGGTCTTCGAGATTAATTGTTCTCACGCCACTAAATTTTGTTGCTCGAGGAACTTGGAAAGATCTATTGCATGTGACAAATTAATACGAAGAATTGTCAATTGGTTCCTTGAAATGAAGCAAAATTGAAATGAACTTCGCAGAGTAATGGATTTAATTCCTCAACCTTGTCAGCCTTGTACTGAGAGGAACAACGAACATTTTGAAATATTGAATACTGATATTAATAGCTTTCTAGTACATTGATTGGCAACCTTTCTCGCATCGTATCATAGTAACCTCAAAACGACCACAGTTCCTCAGAACTCTTGCTTATACCCATGGAAAACACAGCCAAGGTTTGGACGAAAAAAACTGGGACACCCTATATAACTCCTGCTTGACAATTTAATCAGAAGGAATAATCAATAAAAAAATCCTTAACACTATAATTTTTTTGAATCGTACTCACGGAATTTGATCAAAGTTTAATCGGAAAAAATTGGGACACCCTGTATAGCTCCTTCATGAGAACTTAACTACAACGTTCAACCATTAAGCACAATATCGGCGCCCTAAATCAATTGAAAACGAGATTAAAAATTCCCTCCTTATCCTGTCAAATTTGGTTGGAAAATTGAGAACACCCGGTATAATTCTTACACGATAATTTAATTACAACAACCAGATAATACATATAACGTCGATATGCTAATTCGTTCGCAAACAAGATTAGAAATTTCCTCTTACCCCATCAGAAATTTCTAAGAGAAACTGGGACACCCTATGTAACTCTTACATAATAATTTAATCACAACGACCAATCGTACAATATCGCCATCTTCTTTCCGCAACTTCCCCACCTGTTTCTCGAGATTCAAAAATTTGTAACGATCTTCCACATCATGATCCCTCTTATTCCTATTCATGGAATAAAATACCAAAGTTGGATAAAAAAAAAAAAAACTGGGACACCTTATATAAGTCCTACATAACAATTTAATCACAACGGCGAACCATTAAGTGTAATATCACCATCTCTTATCCCTACCTCCCTTACTTACTTATATGCACATGACGTTCCGTCAAAGTTCGAAAACAAAAATTTTGGTACACCCTATATAACTGCTACATAACGATCCAATCACAACAATGAATTGCCTCTTCCTTATTACTATTAAGAAATCCCTCTTACACCCAACAACGTACCTACCAAACTGTGATGAGAAAAAACTAGGACACCCTGTATACCACCTCCATAATAATTCAATCAAAACGTTCAACCTTCAACTCCATCACCATCTTCCTTCTCTGTCTCTTCCTCAAAATTCGAATCCATCTTACGCCCAACAACGTACATATCTAGCAAACTCGTGGTCAGAAAAAATTGGGACACCCTGTATATCTCTTGCATTTCGATTAAATCACAATAACCAACCGCCACTTCCTCAAAATTCACAGACACGAAGAGATCCCACTTACACTGAACAGCGTACCATCATAGTCTGATGAAAAAAAACTAGGACACCCTGTACATCTCTTGCAGAATAATTCAATCACAATAACCCAATCGCCGCTTCCTCAAAATTCACAAATGCAAAGAGATCCCTGTCACACCGGTGAATATACCACCATGGACTGATGGGGAAAAAGTAGGACACCCTGTATACCTCCTACATGATAATTCAATCACAACGATCAAGCATCGACTGCAACATCAGCATCTTCTCCCCAAGCTTCTCTGGCAATTCCTCGAGAAGCAAAAGTTTCCAAAAGCTCGCGCGTTAAACGATCCCCGTCCGACATCGCGCGTCGCGTTAAATCGCTGGCCGAAAGCTCGCAAGCGATGGTCCGAGGGGCAAGGAACACTCGGATATCGCTGGTGAATGGATTGAAAAAGCTTTCTCCGTCGGTTCCTTAAAGCGACAACGAATCATCTTGAGGCCATCAGCCGTGAGCGATGCCCACGAAGGTGGCAGCGTAAGGGGTCGTCGAGGCCGGAGGAGTGAAGGTGGCGAAGGCAGAGGGAGTAGCGAAGGAAGAAGAGGAGGAGACGCTTATCGTGACCGAGCGTGACGGTGCGTGGCGGCGTGTGCACACGCGTGTCGTTCGTGTGGGATCGGATTATCGGTGTGTCAGTGCGAAAGAAGACAATTGACTCGCAGCCGCCGTCGTGCTTGCCGGGGGCCTTCTGACGTCACATCCTGTCCTCTGGCTAGTCGCGATCTCGTTTGGACCACGGCACATCAAGGTACGCAGATTCGTGCGTCCTCAATGTTTGGACGCAGAAAACTGTCACAGACCGGCCTAGCACGTGAGATCCGCCCGTGTACCCCGACCCAGCCTTTTTTTCCCCATTTTTATCCCTTCCACTCGTCACCGTTTAACTCCCGTTTCACGAAACTCACGGATCAACGAGGTGGAGGAGGGCACAGGCGAAAATTCCGGGAGTGACACACGTATTCTCGTCGAAGAGAGACGTAGTTCGAAGCTTTCGAGGTTTCGGAGGTGAATTATGAGCGGCTGGGCCGCCTTTCGGGCAGGTCCAGAGGAAAGTGACTGGTGCGGTGAGAATAGAGACGTGGTGAGCGACGAGATGACTGTTTAGAGACGTGTTCCGTGCTATCTAGTAGAGTTTTCGCGGCGATGGAGTATCAGGTGTGAGTAGCAATCCAGTTCGATGTCAGGGAATCGGGAATTTCACGTAGAATTGCAAACGAGATGAGATCGTTTCCCATCGAGTTCATGGGATCTCTTTCAGCTGCTAGATTCTTGAGATGACCACTCTGGTCTTCTTCGTTCTTAAAGAGTAGTAACGTGCATTTTGACAAGCTAGACTAAAGAGTCCCCAATAACGGTGTTCTAAGTAAGACACGAGATACCAGAGGAAAAACGTTGCTCCATTTTTCAGCAAGAGAAGAACAATGACCAGTCACAAGGAACGGATCCTCAGGATCCTCGTTTGGGCAAACGTGTACGCGATCGTTTCAGCCAACGTGACAGACTCTTCGGAGATCGACCTGTCCAACGAGATGGACTCGTTCACGACTACGAGGAGGACATTTCCTGACAGGTGTCTCGTGAAGGCAGAGCCAGGTCCGTGCAAGGACTACGTCCACAAGTGGAGGTTCATCAAGACCGAGGGCAGGTGCAGGCCTTTCGCCTACGGCGGCTGTTTAGGCAATGAGAATCGCTTCAACTCGGAAGCCGAGTGTCTCCACCATTGCGTGGGTGGTCCTGAACGTAAGGAACATGAGAAATAGTCTTGCCTCTAGTCCAATTGTACACTTGTCGCGTGATCGGATTGCATACCTATTAGGAAGAGATATCGCGAGATTGGTAGCTAGTCGACGATTGACAGTGGTATTTTTATCGGATCTTTTCTCCTTCCCTAGACACGCTGCCGCCATACCTGGTCACAAAAGGAAGCGTGTTTGTCACGAGCACTGCAACCACCAACACACTGCCCTCTACCACCGCCGTCACCCCACGACCAACGTTTACACCCACCGAGCCAACGAAACCGCCTGTGTCGAAGCACAAAAGAGGAAAGGTAAACTAGATCTTCCTGAATTCCCTTTCAGGATTTCGGCTTTTCCACCGATACAACGTGACATCTAGAGATCCGTGGAATTTGACTAGAATAGGCTATTCTAATTCCAATGGAAGAGATGTTAGGGTAGCTGGTTAGGTCTCGACGAAAGTTCACTCGCAGAATTGCTTGACAGGAGCTAACCTTCATGGAGTCTGGCTACGAGAAGACGTTCATGTTCGCGCAAAGTAACACGTTTATCCAACTGGACGGCAGTGGCATAAAACCGTTTCAACTTCGGTGAGTAATCCTAACTTTGCTTCGTAGAATTTTAATTAGCCATTAAGAGACCAAGGTACCTATCCGCTGGCGCTGAGGCTGGTCAGTGCTTACGAGCACTGGTAGACACGAGGCTTGGTCCCGTTGCGAAAAGATCACCAGAGACACGAGGAATCTTGTAGCTTTCTGAATTTTTCATCGACACTTGACAAAATCAACAAGAATTGTCTTACTGTTAGCTTTTCTTTTTGTATAATGACAAAGGAGGGTAGAATTAATTTTAGAACTTTGAACGAGTAACATCACTGACGTAATTGGTCTTTGGAAAATTTTATTTTATGAGAAGTCAAATTGGAAAGATTAATTTGCCAATTTACAAAATTTATAATTCGTGGGTGATATGACATATATGATATTTAATTTCCAAATTAATTTTTGAGGTTAACAACATTGAAACAGTTATCGTTCAGAATATTCAATTTCCTAAGAAATTATCTTGAAACTACTCAGACTCACTCAAAGCTAACCTAACCTAAAAATTAATTTCCAAGTTCGAGATCACCGAAAAGATTATCCTTCAGCAAATTTAGTTTCCTAAAAGATCGTTTTGAAACTATGCGGACTGACTCAAAGCTAACCTAACCTAAAAATTAATTTCCAAGTTCGAGATCACCGAAAGGATTATCCTTCAGAAAATTTAGTTTTCTAAAAGGTCATTAAGATTGCTGATGGTCCAAGTATTCAGAGTCAAACCTAACCTAACCTAAAAGTTAATTTTCAAATTCACGATCGAAATATGCTCACGGTCGAGCCAAGTATCAAAGAACAGAAGTCCATCAATGCTAACAGAGGAAACTTGGTCGACTATCATAATTATACTCGGAATTTGCAGACTGTGTCGCGAGATATCCTTCAAATTTCGCACGAAATTACCCCATGGTCTGCTGGTCTACCACAGCGTGAAGGATCGACCAGAGAGTCTGGATCCGTATGCCTTGTACGTGATAGTGGAGAAAGGCCAGCTGAAAGTGGTGCACGTGTTCGGCAAGCGGTCAACCAGCCTCACGGTTGGCGAAGGGTTGAACAGGGACGAATGGCACAGCGTTCTGGTGAGGATCGACGTTCATGGTGCGAAATTGATCGCCAGGGTGGACGACAAGCAGGAGGAGACCACGCTCGAAGTTTTGGAACACGTGGTCAATTATGGGGTATCCGAGGAACTCGCGTCTGTCGTCCTCATTGGAGGTAACCAGCTTTTCTAATTATAAGAAATCTTCGTTCGTGAAATTCTGATTAAAGTACGTATATATAAATTTCGAAAGTGTATAGGGTGTTATGAAATTCGCAATTTACGCTTAATTAAATATCTACCGAGGAGAATAGAAGACACTTGATCGATACAAATGGGGTTAACTGACTTTGGGATGAAACGTAATTTTGCATTTAGGAATAAATGAATTATCGAATAAATGGGTAACAATACATTTAAATACAATAATCGAATATTCAAAGTAGTCTGTGTATCCTTTGCTCCAAGATTTTTCAAATTTTGTGTTCGCATAATTAAAAAAATTATTCCAAATTCACTATATTATTTGCGAATAAATTACAGTTTATACAGGAAATCTTAACACCCTATATACAGATCCACATTGTAAAACACTAAATTTTGTGCAATTAAATCTTTCACAAATTTATTTTCCATATGAAAAGAATTAATTTGTAATAAAATAAATTCCTGAAAGATTTAATTGCACGTGAAAAATAAATTTAACAGTTTAAATTCCCTATTTATTAATTAATAATGATAGCAATTAAACATTGCTGTTATAATGCGCCGAGCATCAGATTCATAGTCACTATCGCTGATTTGCATCACAGATGAAACTCTGCAACACGAAAGTTAGTTTTCTCATGAATCACGCGGTTTTCGTTAGGGCTGAGTTCCGAGGAGCGATTGCACGGCGTGAAGTACATAATAGAATCGTTTGTTGGCTGCATAAGAGACATGGTTCTCAGCTCGGGCAAATCGGCCAGCGATTTGTTGCCCATCCAGCCTCTGATTGCCACGAAGCACGAAAACGTGAAAGAGGGCTGCATAGACAAGTGAGACAAACCCCTTCAAACACGTTCCTTCAATAAACCACTCTCGTGATCCACCTTCCCTTTAATTCGCGCCACGAACGAATTTCAGATGTAGGACACGGGAGAATCTCTGTTTCATCTCGAGCCAATGCGTGAATCACTATAATAGTTTAACTTGCGACTGCTTTGGGACCAAGTACGAAGGAGAACGATGCGACGTATACAGTACGTAAAAACATAATTCTTCGACCTTAAAAAAGTTAATTATTTCTCTCTCACAGTCCTTCTGAATGATCCTTCTGACAATGAAATCGAATTTTCTAAATTCCAAAGAAGTTGTACATACATGCAATAGCATATGTGACATAGAGATTTCAGTAAAGTCGAGTCAAGATTACACTAAGCTATGATAAAAGGAGAGAAAATATATCTATATGTATTATTTCAGCGGCCACTATTTTAACGTTGAGAGGTTCTTCCTACGTTTCCTTTCGTGTTTACGATTGGAAAGACAGAGTCCACTCGTCTGTCAACAGGATAAGCCTTGCGTTCAAGGTATTTAATAGATCAATTATTAGGTCGTCCCAGAAGTTCGTGTCGATTATTGCACTGATATTTAGATCAGCGTTTGATACGTAGCTTCAAATGCTGTGGAGCACCTTCTGCCTACAAGACTTCTCTATCGAAACGTTTAATGTATCATTCGTTACCCGTTCACATAGAATTTTCCGTCCCGTTTCCAAAATTTTACGCATAAAAGTTCGCGGTCTAACGTCGTTCGCGTGAAATCCATTCAATTTGGATCCATTTCGTTTAATTTCGCTCACCGAATTTTCGAATAATCCCTCTACCTTCTGTAAATTGAACAAAATCGCTAGAATCCAACGGGAAATTTTGTAAACGAGGCACGAAGTGACGAGACGACCTAGTAATCAGTGGTAGTCACTAGTCTAATATTCCATCACAATTTGATATTCCGTAACGCTGCCATTTCCTTTCACAAAGACAAAGTGGGACGACTCAGCCTTGTTTTACGCGTCCGGGGAAATCGATGGGACCCCGCACTACATAGCTGCCTCCATAGTGAACGGATCGGTGCACGTCGAATTAGATTTCGGGCACAACTCGAAGATCTCGACTGTACTGGGCGATTACATCACCTCGAACCATTGGAACAACCTGACGATATTCCACACTGGGTCCCTGGTCTTCGTCAGCCTGGACGACGAGATCAAAGTTCTCGAGATCCCTGGGGAAAATAACAACATGATCATCGATCCTGAGATCTATATCGGCGGTGGACCTGAGCTTCACAAGAAAAAGGGCCTGCTGTCTCACAACAATTTTGCAGGTGTGATCAAATTTATACGGTAACATTATGTATCTGAATATTAGCTATGTTCTTCATTAACGCGTTGAATGCAATTCTAGATATATTATATTAAAAAGTTCCATTAATTTTATGCTATAATATATCACAAAATACTATAAAATTATTAAAATTGTGGAATCATTATGTTAATATACTGTAGAGGAATATACTTTATAGTAGAGGACAAAGTCTAGATGACTTCTGTTTTAATAACTAATGTAAGAATTCTAATTTCAATGAACTGAATTGATCGATGAAATGCTAGCCTGGTAATTGTAAAGTTGCAAAACGTTGCATTTACGCAATTTTGTCCTCGTAATGCGGCAAGTATCGAGGAATCTACGAGTAAGTTCATTGAAATTGGACGCCATCACTAATCTTAGTATCGTCGGCGGCCGCTAACGCCAGTGGCGCCACTGGCGAGTACAGTCTCGCCTAAAGTGCATTCAACGCGTTAAACGTGAAACTCGATTCTCGAGATCGATGGAGATTCCATTGAAACGGTTTCAGGCTCGCTGAAATACGTTTTCTTCAACGACAAGTCCATTATTTATGAGTTGAAACGTTCCAACCCCATGGTGCATTATATCGGCGTGCTGGAGCCGGAGTACTACGAGGCGGATGTTGATGTGATTCCAATAACGTATCCGTTCGCGGACAGCCACATTTGGTGGCCAATAGCGCGGACCGACTCTCTTAAATTGAACTTCGACTTCAAAAGTTCGAAGCCTGTGGCTGTGGTCGCGTCGGGGGACGTGAAAAGCAATCGTAGTCTTGGATACTGGGAGGTACGTTAAAGAGGCCTTATTTAAGGATAAAGGGAAATGGAATCTATTATTCCACTGAACCTTTGTTCCGAAAGCTATCGGAGAAATTGGAGGTTTATTAAAGATAACGATCTTACGATCCTATAAACTGGAATAACCGAAATCTTTTGCACGAGATGAAAAATAAATTAAAATAAAATTCGAGAAATATCGAATCACTCGTAAATTCAGAAAATTCTAAATTCTAATTTTGCCAAATGATATTTACCAGCTTCATCCGATGAACAAGAAAAATTCGCATCCAACTAAACCTTTCGCTATAAAATCAAAAATAAAATTCGAAGAAATATCGTAAGAGTCGTATCGACGCTAAATTAACGGAATAACTGTAAATTTCTAAATGCTAATTTGCAAATGGTACCAGCTTCAATTAGTAAACGACGAAATTCGCTTCCAACTAATCCCCGTGCTAACGGAGAACGTCACCGTATCCGCCGTCGTGAAATTCCCGCCTTACAACACCTCGTGGCACGCGGTCGAATTGAATTACACTAGGGGAGAGCTGAGCGTTCTGGTGGATTATCGGAACAAACAGAGCAAGCTGTTCTCCATGACGTTCGAGCTAGGTGACAAAGTTATCATCGGAAGTGGGAAAAGCAACGCGGGTAAGTTTCGCGAACCTACGTGACCCGGATGGTAAATGATGACAGGTTGCTCTCTGCGTCAGGGCTGGTCGGTTGTATGCGTGAGATACGGGTGAACGACGAGAGAATAGAACCCAGATACGTGGTCAATACCAAGAGAGTCATTGGAGAGGTAGCCTTGGATAATTGCCAATTCGTCGATCCTTGTACTAGACCGAACACTTGCGAGCATGGAGGGAAATGCTCGGTGAAGGAGGACAGAATTACCTGTGACTGCACTGACACCGGTTACATAGGCAAGAATTGTCACTTTGGTGAGTGAAAATTTAGGAAACTATTCCAATTACTGCAAATCGACCATGATAATACTCCACTACCCCTTTGAAAATTTAATACAAACTATAATGAACATAATTGATAATAGATCTTAAACAATAGATCCTTAGTTTGATATACCAATTGTATAATAACATAAGTAAGAATTATCAGATTCGATAAATCAAAATTTGGAAAATTATTAAAATTATTACAAGAGGACTATAATAATACTCCATTACATTACAATTAACTATAATTGATCTTTACTACTTTTGATATACTGACATTGATCACATAAGTAGTTTGTCAGTTTTGATGAATACAAATTTGGAAAATTATTGGAATTATTGCAAGAATACTATAATAATACTCCATTACATTACAATTAAACATAATTGATCTTTACTACTTTTCACATACTGACGTTGGTCACATAAGTAAGAATTGTCAGTTTTGATGAATAAAAATTTGGAGAATTATTGGGGTTATCGAAAGTACTTGTGGAGTACGAGTTCAGCCCTTTAAAAAGAATTTTTATGGAATATCGATGTAATTAAAATACACGAAACACGTGTAAAATGAGAAAATATAAGTATGAAGGACAGTGGCAAATGGCACAAAGCGATGTGAAATTCCAGCTCAATACAGAAAGACCTGCGAGGAATTAGCTTTGTTGGGATACACCCAGGATGACGTTTACAAAATCGACATCGACGGAAACGGAAGATTCCCTCCGGCTCTTGTGAAATGCGAGTTCCAGTCCATCGAAGACTCGACGAAAACCATCGTGGAACACAATTTACCCTCGCAAATCGACGTCCGATCTATCGCCGAGTCCGACTTCTCGTTTAACATCAAGTACAGACAATTCACCGCTGAGATGCTTCAGGAATTGATCTCACACTCGTTGTACTGCAGCCAGTATGTTAAGTACGACTGCTACAAGGCGCCATTGGAGTTGCACAGCGCCACCTGGTTCCTTAGCTCCAAGGGAACCACCGTGGACTACATTGGGAACGTGAACAGGGGGTCCTGTCCTTGTGGAAGTGAGTATTAAACGAAGATAAATAACAATTAATTATCTAGAATATCTCATAAATCAATATACCTAATTATAGTTAATTTTTAGAGATAAGAAAAGAATTTACTTAAAGAAATTTGTGTGACGAATTTTGCTTTCAACGACTTACTGAAATTATTAGAATTAAAGAATTGGAATTTCAATTTGAAGATCAATTATTAAATTATGGATAATAAACTACAAACTATATTGTAAATAAATAACAATCGTTTGTAATTAATAACAAGTCAGAAATTAAAGGATTGTGAATACTTTTGTGACTTACCACGTACTGAACGTCGAAATAAAGGGTCGATGTTGTGTTCCAGTGAACAGGACGTGTGTTGATCCGAACCTCAGTTGCAACTGCGACGTTTCCGCCGGAAATGCTGGAAAATGGCTGTCCGACGAGGGGTACTACGAAACACCGGACTCTCTCGGCATCACAGGTATGGTGTTCTTGCAGCAGAGGGATCTCGAAGAGGATGCTCAGGGTCGTGTCACTTTGGGCCCCCTGGAATGTGTCGAAACTAGTAAGTTTTAATATCTCCATCGATCCTTTGTAAATCAATTTTTCCTTAAAAATAAATAAATTTAATTTTTAGATACGCAGAAGTACGTGGTCACGTTCACCACTTCTCAATCGTACATCGAAGTGCCAGGATGGAGGAAAGGTGATATAGCTTTCAGTTTTCGAACAACTGGGGAGAAGGCTATTCTTCTGTACCAGCCACCTATCAGAAGCAATTATCCATCCTTCATGGTTGCTTTAACCTCGGAATACCGATTGACGTTTAACTTCACCCTGAATACCGGCACCATAAGGGAGCTTGAGGTGAAGAGTAGGAGGAAATTGAACAATGGAGAGTGGCAGAAGATCTGGATCGACTACAACGATTATCATGTCAGGTTCATGATCAACACCGATTTCCAAATGGTCGATCTCCTGCCTGAAGAAGAGTTTGGACCTTTCGAGGGTTCTATGTTCATAGGTGGCGCCACTGCGTGAGTACTTTACGAGTACCATCCTTTCTTACGCTTACAAATAATTTTCTTAATCGTTAATTTCAATTCTTTTCTCTTTTTAATGATTTTAATGTTAGAAAGAGTTAAGAGATTTAAAACCAAAAGTATGAGAATATTCGGTCCCTCGAGTTAGTTATCGTCTACTTAACCGTCCTTTCACGCTTCCTGTTCACTCGCTTAAGTCCAGATTCAAGAATGACATGTCGAAAACAACGCTAGAAATAACAATCATCTCTCAGGGAACACTTAAGGACCTCTTCGGTTCGCCAAGGCCTGATCGGCTGTTTCCGCGGTCTGGTCGTGAATGGAGAAATCCTGGACATTCACAGCTACATGTCAGTCCACCTGTCCGAGATCATAAAAGACTGCAAGCCCTCGTGCCAGCCGAACAAGTGCCAGAACGGTGCCAAGTGCGTAGAACTGTGGAGCAACTTCGAATGCGTCTGCGAGAACAGATGGGCTCACCTTGGCACCTACTGCGAGGAGAGTAAGCTTCTGCAACTACTTTCACAGACGTCCAATTATCATCGATTCTACTCTAATTCTCTTAATAATCATTCCATCGTCTAGACATAAACAACAAGGCCCTGACCTTCACTTCCCAAGGTGCCTTTCTCAACAAGAACTACTTTGGTACGGACGACGAGGACGAAGAAAAGTTGCTACTGAAGGGTATAATGTTACAAAATATCCTGATCAACCTGAGAACCTATGACACTCACTCGTTGATCCTCTATGCGAATGATCACTTGAACAACTTCGCTCACCTCTACGTATCCAATGGCACCAGCATAGTGTACCTGTTCAACGCTGGCAATGAGATCAAGAACATCACTGTGGAGTATCCAGGTATTTAAGCGAAACTTTCTTCATTGCGTGCTATTTCGAGGATTCGAAATTAGAGGAAAGATTAAACAAGCACATTGAATCCGTCAGGAGTGAACACGGGGATCTCCGTCCAAATCGCGATAATTCGAAAGGAGAAATCGACAACGCTCCACGTGAACGAGTACAACTCTACCCTGAACGCAACCCCGGTGTTGCTGGACACGTACTCGAACAAACCGTGGATAAATCCGGAAAAGGAGGTACTGGCGCCTCAGAGACCACCGGCGCCACCTACCAACTACTTCCAGGTGAGATATCAGGCTTTCGAATTGAATGGAATGTACGCAATGATCAGCAATCTTACATAGGTGAATCTAGGAGGCTTCGATCCGGATGGCCTGCTGAGAGTAGGCAAGGAAGACATGCAGATCAAGGGCTACGTGGGCTGCCTTCGTGGACTGATGATCGGAGAATACCTGGTGGATCTACCTAGCCTCGCCAACGAAGCTAATCACGAGGGTAGCAAAGGAGTGCTGCCTAATTGTCAGATGAAATGCGACGCTATGCCTTGCAAGAACCTGGGTATCTGCACGGAGGATTTCGGCAGACAGGAGTCTTCGTGCAACTGCGAACTGACATCGTATTTTGGAGAATATTGCGCTGACGGTAAGAAACGTTTGCCTCGAATTAACCCCTATGAGATACTTATCGTTTGAGTCACTTGGGCTGAGTGAACGACGAGACTTCAGGCAACTAGATAGATGCATCAAATATGTCCTGAAATATGAAGGATAATTTAAATAGAATTATTTGACTGTAATATATACTATACATATAGGGTACATTGCGTCAATAATGTACATAGCAAGAGGAACTTGATTATATGAGTAAAATTAAAAAATAATTTAACATTGATGTGTCACAAAAATATTATATGCGCAACTTATAATATTAAAACAATAGTAATTTATATAATCGATTTCTTTTTGTTGCGTATGACAGCCTTAAGATTTCCTATTTAACTCACTAGCGCCACCACGGCTCGTATCTACAATAAACTTTACTACCGTAAAGACCTATATATCGCTGAATTACTTTCTAATTTTGCTGATATAATCTTGGGATTTCTCAAATTTCAAATTTTGAATTCGAATACTCGCGAAGAATCTACAATTCGATATAAAAATGAAATATTCGTAACTTATAGGATTTTTAGATTTTTCGCAGTCGTTAATACAGAATTCGCGTTTTCTGTTAGAAAAGGGAGCAGACTTCAGCGGAGAAAGTGTCCTACAGCGAGAGTTCGATCTGGTTGGCGAAGTGAACCAAGTGAAGGTTCAACTAGCATTTTCAACCAACGAGCTTCGACAACGTACCACGGCACTTCTGCTCTTGCAGACAGAGAACAAGTAAGTTTTCTGAAATTTCACCACGATCTCTACTTCTTCCTAGGGAATATGTTTCGTTCAGTCTCCACGATTCTTTCTCGAATCTTGGATGTCTTTCGAAGGCTCTTTTTTTCAGAAGAAACTACTACTTGCTGGTCGCTCTGACGTCAGAGGGTCAACTGATCTTCGAGGAAGATAGAGAGGGCTCTGCGTACGGGGTACGCTTGAACGACAGAAACTTTTTGAACGCAGCTCGACACAGTGTATACTATGTTCGGGATAATAATACCGCCACACTTTTGGTATGTTATCATGCGCCTAACACTTCTATAATGATCTTCACCAATCCATATTTACATATTTATTCAACTACATTAAATTCAAATAAATACTGGCAAAAGATTTTCCAATTTCCACCAATTTCTCTATCGATCGTTTAAAACGCGTCGAATGAAATGCAAAAGAATGGAGAAAGATTCGATGAGCATACTAAACTCGAATAACTCGTGATACTCTAGCACGAGACGTCGACCAAACGTCAGGATAGACTGCATAATAACACGATAGCCCGAAGAAAGATTGACAGCCCCTTTTCCGGTTGCAGATCGATCGCGAGCCGGTGCAACTGTTGCCGATCCCAGTGCTGAACCTGGGAGACGACGAGGACGACAGTCCAGGCGTGACAGAGATCCAGCTTGGTGGCCTGAACACGACAGATTCCCGATTCAGCGCGTACAAGGGATACACCGGCTGTCTGAGCAGTGAGTGCCACGTTAAATCACCCGTTTGAAAAGTCTGTCGAAAAACGAAACGAATTCGTCGGCAGTGACAGGGTCGGGCCGTGGTTCTAATAGAATACTGTCTTTCTTATGTTAGACAAAACGAACATCAGCCACATTGCGATTACGAAATGACGGATACCCTCTTCTTGTAGACGTCGTGGTATCGATCAACGGGGGACCTGGCATGAAGCCACTCGAGGAATATATGCTCTTTACGAAACAGGGCAGCGAAACCGTAAGGGCGACTATACTTGCCGGTGTCAGGAGCGCCCAGTGCGCAGTCTTTCACGCGCAGCCACGTGGCCTCGATCCACCCAGAAACGATAGCGTGGTAAGAAACCGTTTATTATATTATTCCCTATTTTTTCTTCAGAATTATGGTTGTATAATTATGTCTGTACAATGCTCTGCGAGGGAATCCTAATACGATAGATCTCGGTAAACTGTGATGTGTTAGATTCCGATATACAGGAAGCCTTGGAATGTTATATATCGGGTACTGGAGGCCTCGGTAACGCAAATTTCGATAGAAATTTTCAAATCCACGAGATATTCTATGAGAGAATTTTCACACGGTTGATTTCAAGTACATACCATTGTTCCAAGTTCCAATGGCGCGTGCCGTAGTCAACAGCAAGGTCGGTCACACGTCGAGCCATGTCGTCCGAACGCGGCGAAGAATAACACGAAACTGAAACAGAAAGACATCGACGTTAGCACGAACCGTGATGTTTACATTGGAAGCTATGTAAGCGTCTACGCACCACGTCTCTCGCCCGTGATACTCGTGTTTAGCCCGATGCCTTATCACGACTCTCGCACGATATTGTTGGCGAAGAGGTTTTAAGCTCCGATATATTAACCCTTTGCACTCGACGATTTTTTCGCTAGAGAAGAGTAGAAATTCAAAGATTCTCTACTTAAAAAACTGACGATACTTTTTTGAGCAGTAAATAGAGAATTGTATAATAGAATTGTAGAATTATTTGACTTCGATGCTTCGCACACTGTTACATTACATTAAATTTGATATATTAATGAATATCGATTTTCCAAATTTTATGAAATGCTGACTGAGGGTCGTCTCTCGAGTGCAAAGGGTTAAACTTTGACAAAGGACTTAAATATTAGGCATCGGTGCGATATATACTGAAAGACTAGGTACAGTACGGTGTACTTTGTCACATTAAACCTCAGCTATTATACCTTGGTAGGTTACGTATACGCAGTAAAGCAACATATAGTAATAGTATGGACATAGTATACGATAATAGACCCCGACACAATAGACTCGTTAAAATAAACTTCCTCGGTCATCCATTCTATAAACTCTATCGCAACGCTGCTATGGAACAACAAACTCAACTTCGGCATGCCCCAAAACCTATCGTATCGCTCGCACAAAACTACATCTTACATTCTGTTAACCACAAAACTACCTAAACTTCAAAGAAACTTGCAAGTTTCTAAAAAACTGAGGTACGTGGTCTCGCGAGGCTCGTCGAATTCGAAATGAAGAGAGAGGTGTATACCTAAAAGGTAAAGTACTTTCTGTCGAAGGGTCGAGACAGAGCCTGGGTGGAGGACCCGCCAGAGAAGATACTGTACAAGTCGCAATACTCCGACGCGACGCAGGAGGAACAAGGTGCTGGTACTTACATCTTCATCGCGCTGTGCTGTGTGTTCGTGACAGCGGTGATCGGCTGTATCTACGAGGTTTGGCGCAGCGCGAGAAAAGATCGACGACGCAGACGCGCCGGTAGCGTCACCGGAGCGTCGACGGTGTCGGCCCCTGGCGCGCAAAGATGGCAGTCGCAGCAGTACACGGACCAATTGGGTGGTAACGTGAAGACAGTGGGCTTCATGACAGTGACCGAAGAAGAAAAAAGACCAAATGGCACTCACGTGAAGCCGACTGCCAAGGAGTACAAGCCGCTGGCCAACGCGGAGTCGAAAGACTTAGTTAATGATAAAAGGGTTCATATTAAAGGTAGGTTATGGAACGCACTGATGATAATTTCGCTTTATCTTCACTCGAAGCAAGTTCTCGGTGTTTTCCTGTTAATTTCGAAACGTTAGATTGGTCGTAAATTATAATATCTTGAAAGCAATGGTAATATTCTTAAACCGTCTGGTTGAATTGGAATAAAAATAAATAATCTTGTTGATTGTATGGATTAGAACTGGTTGAAAATGAAACCCCTGACAATCTGACGGAATTAAGGATAAAGAGCATACATGAATTGGATATAAGTGGATAATCGCGTAATTTTCACTGATTATTATATTACGATATTTCTTAAGTTGTCGATAATTCGAAATGATGTACTTGAAATTATATATTACAGCAGATGAAGAACCAGAGAAGAAGGAGCTCCTAGGGGTAAATACAGGCATCACCACTAAACCTCCGAAAGCGAATCCATTCGTAAAGATTTTTTCTTTTTTTTATAAAAATTACGTATTAAGCTCTAAGCAGCTTGCCAAGTGGATTTTTGGATAAAAGACCATAATACTTGATAGTACATCGAAAGAAGTATAGCTATTGATTTAATTAAATATACTCTGTCAGCAATTGCGTCTACTTTGCAGGCTCGCTTTGAAATATTTTAAAACATATTGAAATAAATAAAAATCCGATTAGAAATAAAATAATGATCAATTGTGACATTTCTTTAATGCTATCAGATTCTAAGAACGCTTTTTAACGAGAAACATTTTTTTAAAAGTTATATAGTAATCGAATTAATATCTTTCGTTGATAAATTGATTTTATTAACTTTAGTTTCGTATCAGAGAAAATATGTAACTTTAAGAGATACATATTTTTAAATGATTTATATGTAGTTTACTTCAGTGATATATGCAATTTCAAGTATTCCAGTTGAGCATTTATGATTGCACATTTCCAAATTTTTGCCAGTATTTCATATTGCCAGTATTAAAATAACAGAAGATAGAGCTCGGAATGTCTATCAACGCAACGAAACATTCCATTGCAGTCGATGGAAGATCTACAGGAGGAACCAGAACTGGAGGAATGCGAAGAGGAAGAAGCCGGAGAAGAAGACGAGGAAGAAGAGGAGGACGATCCCAAAGAACAGAACCCAGACGAGAAGGAGAGACATCTGTCAGAAGCAGAGCGTACTAACGATAAAGATTTAGCGAAGTCGGTAAGGAAAACATCGAGAAGTTATTTCTTGAATAGATAGGTCTCTGTCCTTGAAATACAAAGGCCTGTTATCGAACGAGCTAGCGAAACCGATTTTTCAACGATCTCAAATACGCATGGAATTAAGTTAAATTAACGAAACGGAAAGGGAGTTTTATAAACAAATTTTTATATTTTTATATACTTAAGTTAATAATTAAACTTCGTTCAATTCTATCGAGCTCAAGATTAATTATGCAGTTCAAGGACAGATACGATTTTATCATAAACTGAGTGCGTTCAGATATATTCGTTAATACTTGGCTGCGACGTGACACATCAGTGTTATTCATACTCATTATCACACATTTGTTATTTGTCTCTGTTAGCTTTGTATGTATGTTCCTCACACTTTCTTTTTTTATATATACATATATAAATATGCAATATTGATTATGTTATGCGAACAACGAATAAAACATCCTTAAAGAAATTAATTCTGAAACATTGTGGCATCTCACTCCTTGAAAACCTACAAAACACGCTCTATAAACGAAACGTCATTTTCCCTCCAAGTTAGAGAATCATGTCATGAAACACGAATAAAAAAATATCGAGAAATTCAAGAACTTGAAATGCAACGAATATAATCAAAGATATATCATACTTTCAGCCGGATAATTCCTCTAGGATAAGTGTTGAGGAGAGCATTGACTCGTTAAACGTCGATCTTGAACACGATGACACGAAAACGCAGAATGAAGTCTAGAGGTACCAGTGTAATCGTAAAGCTTCTTGCATCATCTGTTCTTCCGACCGCTCGTCAGCTTCTGGTTCTGCAAAAATGTAATTTGCGTTCAGACATTAAGATGGCACGACTAGCTAATATAAAACGAACCTTTGTGGGTCGTGTATAAATATGTTTCAAATACTAACGTGAATTACATTGGACACAAAATAGCCACTTAACGCGGTCAATTACCTGTTTAATTCCCTGCATTTCCAGCTCATTAATTTGGGAATATCGCTGCATGATTTTGTACGACTTGCAGTACAATTCGCAACTGCCTGGGTCTCTCCCCACTTTAGCGTCTGTAGCTATCCCCACCACTTCTTGAAACCCAGCTCACAGAGTCCTGTCGATATTGATTTGTCATTGATACGTAGGTTCGTATCGAATGTCGGTATACCACTCATACTTGTTTTACCTTCCTTCCCTCAATTGAATTCTGAAAAGTTACAAATAATCAATCAGATATGGTCCTATACTGCAGACGTTAAAGGAGACGCTACTGTATTTGCAAACAAATTGTTCTTTCCCATCATTTATATTGTGTTCTAAATATATTCAATTACGTTCACATTAAAAATGAAATTAAAATGGAGGTTAAAATGCTCCATAGTATGCCAAGAAAAATGATTTTCTTACAGTCTTTATTTACAATAATTGACAAAATAAGTGTTATAATTATAATAGATAAATGATAAAATAAATCAGCTTTAATAAAATGGAAGTATCCAAGGAAAATATTTAATTGCATGAATGAGCCTGTTCAACTATTAATACTGAGCTACAATAAAATGAAAAAATTAGTTAAGGAGAAATTATGCTAAATATTTGAATATACAAATGCATCAATCAATATTGCATGAATCATGAGTATAGTGAAAAAAAATGTATTTGAATGCATGTTGCATTAAAAGCAATGCTTTAATCACGATTTAAACGATGGCTTTCATCCATCTCTAAGTTTTCTCTTTAATTTAATATAAAATTAAAGCGATACTTTTGTTGTCTAATATTTTGAAATTGAGAATTACTTAAAATAAGTTTCATCTTATATAGGCAATCGCGCTAAATGATATTGGACAACGATCGACAATCCAAGATTTGTTTTCAGGTCAGTACCAGTTTAATTACTGACGAAAAAGAACATTGTTAGTAAATAATTTATCGATACTGCGACATCGCTTCAGTTCTTATATTCTAAATAAGATTAATAATTAATATGTATTCTTATAATTTAAATATCGTTGTAGAAAATTAAAGCTTTTAAGTATAAACGAATAAACGATAAATTTAAATTGGTTTTAATAAATTTATAAACTTAATTAAAATAAACCAAAAGATCTTTAAATTATCCAGCAATCAAATTCAGTCCCTATATAATTATTTGTAATATTCATACTGTTTTGAGAATCTATATATGTGACTTTTTAGATCCTGCAAGGCGTTTCATTTGCAAACTTCAACCTATCTATTTATTGGATGAACGAAGAACTTTTGGATGTCCACTGAACTATTTCGCTGATATGAAATGTCAGCCAAGAAACAGCAAATCCATTGAATCAATATTGTCTTTGGATTAACACTTCTGGAATATATAGAAAAAAGTTTAATTTCGCGCCATATTTATTGCGCGCGCATCGCAGCTGATTTAAGCGTGCGATAATATGCAATAACGAATCTTCGTCAAACATTTTATGATACTTTCTATGTTTGCAAAAGTAAAGATCTACAATTTATTTTAAAACCTAGTTAAAAGGCACCTTTTGGATGCAAGTGTAAAATGAAACCAACAGCATAATATTTTCGCCAATTTTTCATACTACGTATCAAGATTACAGAAAAGTTTATGTAAATTTTCCGCGTTTAATGAAAAAGAAACAATAAAATTATTTCCGATATGTTCACATTCTTACATGACAATTCCTAAATACATCTCCTTTATACTTACGTATATATCAAAAAAGAATAAATTTATTTTTGTTTCACATTACATTAGGACTGCTGCTTACAATTCTTCAATCAGAATGAAATTCATATAAAATCAATATGTATTTAACAGTTCTTAAATATTACTTATCACTCACAATATTTTTTCACTTGATCACTTCCTTAAACTTTATAATAATTTATTTTCGATAGTATCGTGTTTTTTTCAATAGTATCGATAAATATCTATTGTTGTGATATATCGATTGTTAATTATATCGCAATTAATTATTGTATCTGTCAGTACTTATATAGTTGTATCAAAACGTAGTTAAAGTTTAAAAATTTCTAAATAAACATTAATATCGTCAACACAGTAAAAAATGCAATAAATAAATGCAATCGATGTATTACAAAATGTTACACAACACAATGAAACCAAATGAGATATTAAGGTTATAAGTTTTGTTTTCAAACAAATATTGTTTCCCTATTTTTGTGCAATAATATTTTTAACGAAAAATAGAAACATATACAATGACGAAAATTGTTGAATTATGTCCTGATAGAAATTTGACAAATTTAAAGTTTGAAAAATATCAATTTTGTAGCGATGAAATCCCAATAGACACTGAAATAGATTTAAAAACAGGTAAGAATTATTTTTATTATTCTTAACAAATTTAATTTTATGTATTATTTAAAAGAAATAATTGTCATTTAATAAAATAAAATCATGAAAATTTTCAAACATTTACAGATATATATAGGTTAGAATTAACATCAAATCGAGATTCCCTTTTAGAAACACGATTATTTGCACTTCATAATCATTTATTTAAAAATCCGTACGACTCATCATCCTGGTTTATAGATAAAAATTGGATTGTGTGGCGTTTCAGAAAGGATGGTATTTTGGAAAAAATACATATGATTCATGATTCAGAAAAGAATGTACAAGATATTCTATATAATCCATCAATTGGATTTACTAGTAATGACATTGTTATAATTTCTGATGGCGGGAATTGTTTAAAATTATTATTAACAAAGGACCAAGAACATATTAAATCTTTCATATTAAACAATGCAGAACCTGGAGTTATATTAGATATACAATATGTAAATGCTACATCTACTATTATGATTGTAATGTGTGATATTAGAAGTACAGGTGAAAAAAAATTTACAAGACTCTTACTATTATCGTATGTTTGGAAAAATGTAGGAAGTGCAGATGAATTCTTTGAATTTACCAACAACGAAGCTTTAAAAGTAAATGGTTCTGTTGAATATGTATATATAGAAAGCTGTGGTAAATATTTACATTCCATTTGTCAAGACTACATAACATTTGAATGTTCAAAAGTACAACAACCCAATGATAATAAAAAAGAAGCAGAGAAAATTGAGGAATTAAAAATTCCAAAATATTGCTGGTCTCAAGATGAAGATTCAATAACAGTTTGGTTTACAATAGATAAACAACATAGGGATAAAGTTAAAGTAAATGTAAGACCATTAGAATTATCAGTAACAGTGAATAATGATATATTAATACAAGGGCAGTGCCAACACAGATTAGATGAAGATTTAACAACATGGAAATATGAAGAAGACACATTTAAGCTTGAATTATATAAACATGAAAATGGTTTAATGTGGAATGAATTAATTAAAGGTGATACTGGTGGGAAGTGTTTACCTAATGAAACTTTGGCTGCTGAAATCCAGTCCAGGTACATTACTTGAAACACTAATAAAAGCTATGTTATGTTATTTTTGTATTTCAATGTCATTATCTTATATTTAGGTTAGCACATTTGTGTACAGATCAGGCAAATAGCAAACAAGGACAACCTTGTCTGGGATTTAATGCTGAACAACTTGAAGAATGTGATCTTGAAGGAAAAGATAATCTCCTACAAAGAATTGATCTTATTACACAGGAAAATACTCATTTAGCTATGCTTGGAGCAAGCAATCATGTATTGTTTACATACAAAACAATATCTGGACAAGCAATATGTTTGAGACATGACAATGATGGTTGCTTATGGATAACTGGCAAAGTAGATGAGATGAAGTGGAATATGAAACATCACTATACCTTTCCTGGTTTTGGTTATGTTGAAGCAAGTAAAAGCAATAAAAAATTTTGTGTTTCTCCTGCTGGTAAATATTTAATTAAAGCATAAATATAAATTATATCAAATACAATATTTTAACTTCTTATATATTTTAGATGGTTTATATGTAGCTATACTTGAGCACACAAGATACATATTCCTTTATAAAAGACCTGAATCAAATATTCAAGTTGAGAAACAATGGATTGTAGATTTAGGTACTGAAACTTGTCCTATTATGGGAGCAGTCGCCATAAACAAATATTTAATTATACTTACTAGAAACAAATTATATCGATTAAATATTTGTTTTTAACATTAGGTATATTCGTTTTTGTGATGACATACAGACAGTTCATATGAATTTAACCATTCATGATGTTAGAATTATCAATTACTTATATACAATACCACATGTTATTTGCAAATGTATACATATATTTGTATATTTATAATATATATGTAGAAATTAATAGTACCACAATTAAAAGTCTTAATTGTCGAGTTTTTACTTATTTTAACATATTCTACGTCTTTAATATTTTAAATTGTAATTATACACAGGAAGCTTATCTTTAATAAAATCGGCTAACATAGTCATAGTAAGGGATTCGTCGTGAGGCCAATACCAAATAATACGCTTTTTAAACGACTCAATGAAATTCGCTTCTGCCGAGCGTGGTCTATTAGAATCAAATCCTTTATCATTAGTTTTGTAATTAAAAACATATGTCATAGAATACGTTTTACTGAAATATCGATTCCAAGGAGCCGCAGTACTTTTTAAGAATATCATGCTATTTGGTACGTAAAATGGTTTATCATTACTAGATTCACTACAATCTAAAAATGTGTCTGACAGTTCGATTACCGAAGCATGTTGACTATTTTTCATTTTACGTCGTGTTAGTTGCAACATTTCACATATATTCGGAGCTACTGGAAATAGTTCTTTGGCACGGATTCGAGCACAATTACTCCCTGCTGGTTTCCACAATGCTTCACAAAATTTCTTCGTAAGCTCGTTCCTATTAAAAATCATATATCAGTATCATTTAAAAAGATTTTATTATGAAGTTAATAAGCTTCAGTTTATTACCGTTCCCGTAAGTATTTTTGATTAATATTTTCTGCTCCTAAGATGAAAGCGTCTATAATATGTAAAGCACGTACTTTCTGCTGGTTTTTAAATTCCTTTACCATTTCATACACAACCTCAGCATATACAAGTGTATCTGGTGGTAATTCTATGTAAATATCATCAACTGATACCCACGAATTCCTTATGTAACGATACACGTTACCTCTTCCCATTCCCAAATAAAATGTAGGATTTCTCCTCTCTTCGTTATCATGCCCAGTACCACATGGCATAAAAAAGTAATCATATGGATTTGATAACATAGTCTCAATATTATCCATCGTCAATTTTATTCCATTACTAGAAAGTAATGTAGAATCTTTGACAAGACTATTAAATTTATCTTTTGGTTTAGGAACACTCGGAGTCATTCTACTTTCATCAGGAAGTTTCCAATATTCTAAACATTCTCTGCGCATATCAGCTTGTTTCGTTTCAACAAGAGTACTATCTTCACAAAATGCAGCTATTTTGCATAGCCCTACTATTTGCTTTTTACCTAAGTATTCATTAGAGGTACGTAAATATTGTACAAATTGCTTTTCCCTTTCTAATTCTTCAAATGATACTAATTGGACAATATCATTGTTATCATCACCTTTCAAAAGAAGATGATTAACATGTTTCAAATGTTGTACAACATTTTCTATGCCAGGCCTTTTACTTTTACATATTAAGTAACGTTCTGAATTTGCTGGCCTAGAAGAGTTTGGTTTAAAAATACAAATCTCATCAAAACAATGGTACATTAAGTAAACTAAACCAGCACTGAAAGGTGTGAAAATATCAAACAGTTTTGTGACAAAGTGACCTTTTACTTTCACAATCATCAATGCTATCAAACATTGGCAAAGATATAATTGTTTTGAAAGAATTTCTTGTATATTTTCTTGACCCTTTACAGAAAACCCTCCATCAGACATCATAAAATGTACTCCTTTACCGTGAGTGTGTGTCATTATTAAATTTTTGAAAGCTTCTTGATTAGCAGGATCATAAACATCTCCAGTATCTTCTGGTCCATAATACGGATGAAAAGTTTCACAGGGTGCTGCATGAAATTCACTTAGTTTGAAATCATTTTCTCCTCTCAAAGTAAAACCAAATCCTTTAGCGTGCCACTTTTTTCTCCATAAAACGTATTCACTGAAACCACCTGGACCAGCACATACATCAGCAAAATATAACAGCTCATTCTTTCCCAAACAGTCTGAATTAGTAAACATGAAATTACATGCTCTATCTATATTTGCCATTTTAACAGCAGCACGATTCAAGAAAAATGCTCCGCGAATTGTCTCATAAGGATTACTACGAGTTCTTGCACGACAAATTTCAACAGCATCCAAGTTATCAAATACTGTTTTTGCATTAATAACATTTTTAACTATATCTTTACGACAAAAATGAGTTTCATCATCTAAACTCATTTTCTTAGGTCCTTTTTGTAACCAAAGTTGCATTTCTTCCAATGTAGGTGCAACAAAATTTGGACATTTTACCCATTCCATATCTTCTTCCACTTTAATTTCTTCATCTGCAGGGTTCCACTTAAGACTCGAAGCTTCAAGTCCAGGAACATAAAGTCCAAGACCTCTACGACCACGTTGTTTAGATACCTGAACTGGTTCTAAACGACCTTGCTTATTTTTGCCAAGACCAAATCCATCTATGAAACCCATTTTTTCCAACATTCGTTTACCCTTGTTATTTCCACTTAGAATGTTTTTTGTTTCTGGTTTATTTTTTGTATCAAAATCTCTTTCTTTATTAATAACATCTTTATCAGTATTAATAACATCTTTATTTGGTTTATGAATCTTTTGTTTCTTGCTATAAGGAGCATCTACATACCTTTTCCTCTTTGTCCCAGTTTCTACTTTGTTATTACAATTTGGGGAATTATCTGTACAAACATTTTGTATACTTTGACTACTACCTTCATCCCCTGAATTTTGTTCACAAGACAAAACTTCATACATGTTATGTGGTTTAAATTTCACAAGTTTTTTGTCAATATTTTTGTTATAGTAATCTTCATTACCATCGCTATCAGAATGATCACTAAAAAATGATAAATATGTTTCCTTTTCTCCAACACCCCCAACATTGTCTTCGTCGTTGAAGCTTTTAAAACTTTCATCTTCATAATCACTTTCATCTGAATCTAAAATATTATCATGTTTTATGATAGTATAATGTTTCAATTAATTGAAACAGGATTCATTACACTTATACAATTAACATAAAATAATGTAAAACAATTATTTCTATTACATAAAATGGACACATGTTTTTTTCCTTTTCCTTTCCTTCTATTTTAATTCATACTTAACATTTATATATAGTATAATAAAATGTTTCAATACATCTATACAGAAATATTATTAAAAAGTAATACTTACTACTCTTCATAATTGCTTCAAATTTGTCTAATTCTTCAGTTTATTTATACTTCTATGTTCACTAAAAATACTTTTTTAAGTACAAATGAAAGAACTATATTCATTCAAATGATATGGTTAATTTTATATCATAATTCTATTTGCAATATAAATATTTTACAATATTGTTGTTATTACAGGTTATGTTTTTTACTATGGCATAATAGAATATTCATGTTTAACAATAACATTGTAATATTTTTTAATAATAATATTCGAATTAACATCAGAAGTAAAAAAAAGAAAAACACCTTATACACTTGATTGCAAGTCAATTAATAATAAAAAGTACACGAATTGATAAAACATGTATACAAAATGCACGGAGACAGTGTCGCCAACAGAAGTAGACGTTTTACTAGTTACTTTTTACAAATCACTATATCGTTGAAACTTTTTAAATTCCTGACTATATTTTAATATTATATCTAACGTTGTAATACTCATGAATGATAAATTTATTCTTGCTTTTATATACTATATATTTCAGTAACTTTTATCACTAGAACATAAAATGTTAAAAAATTTAAACTAAAATTACTCGATATAAATCTACCTTACACTTATAATTACAATATTTCTCTTTGATAACGAATATATTAATTACTAATTAGAATACCTACATAAATAAAAGGAAAAAAGAAAAGAAAAGAAATTATGTTTAATATAAAACGAAACGAATATAAAACGAAACTAATATAAACGTGTACTATAATACCATTTAAGCTATGAATAAGATATTAACATACATTCTGGAAATTGACAAAGGAACAAACAAGTTATTATTGCAATATTTATTCTTATATTCTACCATAATACTGTGTAACATACAAGAAATGCACTTTAATGAAACCTACAGAAGAGAATCTGAATACAGAAATATTATTTAACATCATTTACGCAATTTTTTCTTAAATTGTTCGTCTTGTACGCTGCCTTATATAAATAATTTGTGTATGCTCTTTTTTTTCTTCTTTCTACATCAGAAAATCATAAATCGTATTTAAACAGGAGCGACTCATAAAATAATTAACTCTAAGGTATCTTTAACAAACGTCACTTGTTTCCTATCACTCACTGAAAATTGCAATAAAATATTCACCTCACATATACTATTGATTTACTTTCCGCTTTTGAAAGTTGTGTCATGGTCAAAGGAAAAAGAAAAACAAGCCATTTTCGCGTTACCTCTCTTTGGTCGTGAAAATTAGTAATTCTGCAGTAAAACGGCTTACACGATTAGACGATAAATTCTTCCATGTTTACTCGATCAATCGAAAACGTAGAACAACACAGAAAGTAAAACGATGACGAAGTATTCACGCAACTTTGTTTCCAGTTGCATCGTCAATACCGGTCTTTCGCTTTTCTAAAATATCGTTTTGGAATAATATTTTCGTGTCGAGTCTGAACATTATTCGATACAGAACATTAGAGATCTTCGTTTCTCTTCGATTTTGCGTCATAATCTTAAAATTAATATCTCGATAATCGAAAAAATTATTTCGTTAAAGTGTTACGTACAACAATGTTTGAAGAACATTCCAATATTGTTATACCATAAAAAAGATATTCATTTCAATATATCTTTATACCCGTCGTGGGTCACAATTAACGACAGAATAATTTCGACTAGATTACTTGTCATCCTTAACACATTCACTGCCAAGTTTATCACGGCAAGTGTACAATTGTGAAATTTCCTTTACATGTACTTTTACACGAGTAATACACAGATGAATTATCAAATATAAGGCAGCAGTGAATCTGTTAATAACGTGATAAGCGATCACTTTTGTCCATTCGCAATATTCTCTTCGTCCCCTTTAAAACAATGCTGTCCAAACTAAAGCTAAGAAACTTAAAAAACAGGCTTTCCTTATTCGTCTCCTGTTACCACAGTATAAGATTCTAATATTACTAAGCTGATGTACAAGTACATGTCAACAAGCATAATTACTTACTAGTAGAACCTTCTGGCTTCTTTGTCTGTTAGTAACATTTAGGGAAGGACAAAGAAGCGTAATTGGGTCTTCAATTTTTCTGGACAGCATTGCTTCAATAGATGATCCACTTCCTTTAGTGTTATGTCTGTATATGTTTTCATATATACAAACATATTTTATATACATATATAGATATATGCGTATATATGTATATAAATATACAAAGGACCGATAAATGTATTTTTACGCATAAAATTGACGCAAATATATATCTTTCTATGCCTCTTCTGTATATTCTTACTCAACAAGAATGCCGGTTGTATGCCGTCTTCTGTGCTGCAGTTCGAACAATTCTAGCAAACGCTTATTTCAATTTACTCGAGGACGACCAAGGAGCGGTTTTTATTTTCATTTCGAATCTAAGAGTGTTCGCAATCTTGCATACACATCTTGATGAAAGTTGGCCGAGCTCTTTCATATTGTAAGGCGTGATGAATCAATGAAGCCGTAATAACAGAATACCTATTTGTATTTTGTAATGTACACCTCTCCCGACACCATCGGCGGTTTGAACTCTCTTAACTCTTCTGGTCTCGTAAAAACGATTAAAATTACGCATACTAAATTATCAACGTTCCCATTTTCCTCTCTGTAATTTAGCATATTATATCATTTTAGCGTTTTTCAAACTACTCGTTCCCTTTATGCCGTTTTCTCCCTAATGCGCATCCAGAATAAACGCATCAACAAATGAACTATTACAACAACAGGAAGTCTACCGTGCTGTAACTGCGTCTTCTCGCAATGATCACGTAATTCCTATTTAACATCTTTATGCCTTTCAACTTTTATCCCGATGCTTCACGTTCCTATCAGAGGACCATTCTCGTTTTCACGCTTCGCTTAAAGAAATATGTGCATAGTACACGGCGATCACGCAAATTATTTCATTCTTATACACGGATCGAATTATAGTTTGAACAATTTACGTCTTCGAACATATATATGTTTGCAGATATCTTGAATGCGAAATATTATGCGCTCTCAGAAAGACGAGGTACGACGGATTCGTATGTTTCGCTACTCTAAGAACAATTGTCGAGAATGCAGAGATATTTGCACAAAAACAACAAAAAAAGAAAAGAAAAGAAGAGAGAAAACAACGAATATTTACAATTATAATCAAAATAGTTTGATCAATTTAACCCTTTCGCAGAGACATTTAATGCCAGTTTCGCTTGCAGCTATAAAGACTGCTACACCATCGTGGATACAAATGGAATATAATTCTAACGCATTTTCTACGAGATTCGTATATTATTCTGCTAATAATTCGACTCGATTGAATCAAAGAAATCATTACTTCTTTAATTTCGCAAATTTAAATACCTTTACCATACGCTTTATTAAAACACAAATGCTTGGCAATAGATAGCTGTATGTTTCTTTTTTTCTTTTGTCTTTCTTTTACTTTTTCTTTTTTTTTTTTCCTTTCCTTTCTTCAGTAATTGACATCGGAAAATATAAGAAATGAAATTGTTGCAAATAACTTTTAATCTTCCACAAAAGGGTTAAATGCACATTAATAAACAAAGGTAATTCCTTTTACAATTACTTGTTGTTCAGCAAGTAATTACAAAAGCTGTATACAGATATAAAATAATAACATAATAATTACGAAAACAAGTGTACGCAGATCTAACAAATCCTATAATTTCCACGGAACCTTTGAACATGATATACAAATTATGAAATCAATTCGTACATTGTACACCGTTACAGAAATTTATCGTTATTCTGTGCATTCGCTTACTGATCGATAGACAATCTCAGTACACGTGTTTTTTTTTTTTCTTTTTTCTTTCAATGGAATCATCGAAGTTTAAACGAGATGTATATAAGATTTGTTGATTCGAAGGTCTCAGCACACATTTAGATCGATCGAAGGTACTGTGTTTCCCTTTTAAATAGCCCAGGCTGAAATATGTACCATCATTAAAAGACGCATTATTAAAACTGATAAACATCGGAATTCTTAAACTGCATTGACTTCGCACAGTTTCGTAAGAAGCTTGCACAGTAAATTTTGTTGTTATACAGTGTGCAGTGTTCGGGCATTCATGCATACACTAACAAGTCTACGTTCGACGTCAGGAAAGAACTAAATTTATTATCATTACAAAAGGAAAAGAACGAAAAACATAATCGTCTACACGCGAACGGTATAACTTTCGATAAAGGATTATAAATTAATTACTTTCACGCTTATTTTCAAGATTACAGAAAAAGAGGGAAAAGGGAAAAGATAACATTACGGATAAACGAAAGGATATTAACGTAAATTTAGTTTCCCTAAAATTAATCTTAATGTCGTATTCGCTTTTCCATTCCAAGATCGAACTATCCTGAAATTTACCTAGCGAAATGAAGAATGTACCTTACACGCATGAGATTAATCCGCAACTTCCCAACCGTCATAGAAGAACGATCAACGATCTTTAGTACATTTCCTTCGGAAATTCATGAAAAGGTAGCGTAAAACGTTACGGTAACAATTGTAACAGACGCAGAAATAATAATTACAGACTTGGCAATGCACACATGTGACTACACCAATAAAATATTCGCAAGTTTCTTTTTAACCAAACAGAACGGTACGGAGGAAAAGTGTGAAAATTCTTTGACTCATGTTAGCGAAATTTAAGCTGCAATTCATTCACGTTACAAAGAAGAATGCAATATAGGAACTATCATGAAACGGATTGTACTGTTGTTGTTGTAATGTCCCTTTTTTTCACGAACGATCTAATTGATAAACCGAAAACAAGAAACGTGGCAAGCAATCGTTGAAAACCAGATAAATGATCTTTTTTCTCTCTCTCTCCCTCTCTCTTTCTCGATCGAATTTCTCTCTTTTTTTTCGACTCGAATCGGACGAAATTGGAAAAACGGAAGGAAAAAAAAAAAGAAAAGAAAAGAAAAGAAAAAAAAGGAAACCAGATTCGTGCAACTATTCCAACTCCTATGGAAAGTAAACGCGAAAAGTTTGGCGAATTTCTCGTCACGACACACGAAAGATATTAATTCTCAATAAAATGCACAATACGAACACGCACCCGTTATCGAACTATAACATAATAGTACCGTCCCCATACGGCACTACCCACGTAAAACATATTGTTACAATTAATAATGTACAAATAGTCTATCTGTAGTCTACACAGTATACGAACGTATCTGCGGCTGCTAAACCTGTGTATAAGTTGGCGAGATTCAGTCTTCACATATAAAGGAGAATAGTACTCTTCTTTTTTTTTTTCTTTTTTCATTAACATTACAATATGCACATTTATGTTTATAATAATAAAAATGTTTATGTACGCGATATCACAGCGTTCAGCATTAATCATTAAAAAGGTACTCGTGTTCCCGAGGCTATGTTAGTGTCATCAACGATTCTTTAGCACGTTAACTCGACGCCATATTCGTCGACTCTTTACAGCGCGGAGGACTGTGCCAATTATCGTTTCCTTCACCCTTCTTTTTTTTCTTTTTGTCGAGGAAAAAAAAAGAAACACAACAGATTAATACGCGAATAAATACAAGATTGCAAAGTTCCAGCGATCAACCAGCGTGATCTGAACAAGTGCTTAATGCAAGCGTGAAGATTCCACGAGAATATATATATATGTGTATACAACATCTTCATTTTTTCTCTCTCTCTCTCTCTCTCTCTCTTTCGAACCCGTTTTAATTAACAGACGGAAGGCGTGTCACAGAAATCTTGCAAACTACCCTCCCCATCTCCGTTCAACGTTTACCATCGCTGTTGGAAACTGATAAAAAAATATACACGGTTTACTAGAAACATATCGACCAAGACATTCGAGTTCATATCGATATAACAGAGTTTCTTGTTCAACGCGCTACAAGTTTCTCCTCTCTTTCTCTCTCACTCTCTCTCTCTCTCTTTCATTTGTAACAATAAGAGCAAGATTTTCTTCTCTCTCTCTCTCTCTCTCTATCTCTGGGATATCTTTCGTATCAACTAAAGATGACTGATCTCGTTAGAAGTTACGTTAAAAATGTACGACTGAATGGACGTTTTCTAACAACGCGACGAAACGGAATACAAAAAAAAAGAAAAAAATAAAAATAAAAAAAAGAATCGAATATCGTCGGCTAATCAGGAGAAAGTGATCGAAGATGCGACTTTGCTCCACAGATGCGAACAACCGCGTGTGCCCTACTGCGCGAAAGGTACGCACAATCCATGTTTAACAGTCCCCACGATATTTCGCTTAGTACGATTGTAAATGAACGTAGGATTTATTAATTGTTCATTGACGGGAATAAAAAAAAAAAGACGTAAAAAAAAAAAGAAAAGGAAAGAAAAAGCACTCATAGCTGAGCGGTAATGAAGTTTCGCGGACTCCCTTTGTTAGCGACAAACACGTAAGTATTAGAAGACTATATATCTTAACAAACAGAGACAAACATACAAAAGAAGGTAAACAGTTTCACGATATGTGGAAAGAAAAAAAAGAAGAAAAAAAGAAGGGAAAAAAAAAATACAGAAAGAGACAAACGAAGAACATATTACGTATGTCTACGTTTTCATACCCGCTTTGAAAGATGGATTTGTCAGACTATATAGTGAAACGAAAAACTTAGATACTTCGTGAATAGAAATAATACACGTTTTCATCTTGCAAATTTCTAGTTCCTGGTCTTTACCCTGACAATACACGAATTCGCACGGCAAACGCAAAAAAGAAAATAAAAGGAATACTGATCTTTCGCTTTTTCAACAACTTTCGTTCCCCTTTCCTTAAAGTAGACAGCGAGCTCTCGCAGTACACGTCATTTGGGATCACATGATTTGTATACCACGTATAAAACTGATAAGATACGTTCCTTATTTTAATCATGATGCACGATAGGTAGATCTATAAATATGCTACATCTTACATATCACAGAGCTACGCGTACACCCACTATCAATTTTCAAAATGCAAGCTGCACTTCGCTAAAACATTTTCTCTGCTCGGAAAACTTAAAAAGTAGAAAGTTCGTTATGCGTCCTGTCAAATGAAATATAAAATATCGTAACCCTTTGCTGCCTAACGCTCAAGTAATATTCGCCCTATCCGTGTTTTGTACTTGGAGCCAAATAGAACGTAGAAACTGGTAAAAAGATGATTCGACCATATAGATTAGAGATTCGATTTTTCGAAAAGATATGCATATTCGACGGTTGTAAACAACTACGCGTCTTCATTCCACCACTTGGTTTTACGAAAGAAATGCAGCACAGCTGAAAGGGTTATAATTCTGAGGCATCCTGGTAAATTGGAAGATAATTTGAATCGGTTTGCTGAATCCCCATGACCGGTGTGTATATCTAGAAGCCTCAGTAATGGATAAATGCACGAAAGATGGCATCGTTTGCGATGTAACGAAATCAAAGATGTACAAGTTGCACTAGGATAATCTGCCGAAGAGGAAAATCTAGTGTAGTAGACTATATCTCCAACTTGAAAAGGAAATGACAATCTGTGTAACGAAGAAATAAGAAATGTGTCGGCTTTTTCTAATGTGAACCGCGACGTAAATGATAGATCCGAGGAAAATTCGAAGTAATAGGATGATTTAATAGAGGGCGTACGCAATGTATGAGTATTCAGAATTGTCCAATACTCGTAGCATACGCTTCCTATTATTATACCACTATTCATGCTGACACGCAACGTGTTGCAGTCAGATCAACACAGTAGGAGCGTAAGCATTCACAATGTTGAAAAGGGCAAAGACAACAATATACCGCGAATGCCTAACTTCTGTTCGCGACCCCACCATACATTTTGAATGTTCGATCTATCGGCTCAGCGAAAGAAGAATATAAAGACTACCACGTGAAAACCTAGAAACGAATCGACAGAGTTTTCTCAAGCTCTTTTATCGAGCAAAATCCGCTTGAAGTATGCGTGTGACGCGCGGTTTGTGAATTAACCGGAAATGGTATTGTGCACACGTACTGCTTCACAACATTTTCTACTGTGCGTAATTAAGTAACGAACTGTGAGACCGTTTCACGAAAGCGTTACGTATAATTATCACAATAATGTCGTTCGCAAACGAGTCCTTGCTCGAGTGTATTCGAGTCTTGCATTCTTCTCTGTTGGCTCTTTTAGTTTCTTTGCTATTCGTTTATTCGAGTAGTGACGTGTACAGAGTAATCTGGAGGCCCGCAAAAAATCGCTATGCGCTGTCGATAAACGGTTCGTGCCTGATCCCATGGTATGAATTCGTTTCGTTTTCATATCCTCGTCACGTGAAATTTCCTCAAGAGTCGCTTCGGAATGGCCATAACGATATTTACAACACGTGAATCGTTGCCATAAGTTAAAAACTCCTTCGTCACGCGTTCAATACGTTTACGGCAGCGCATTTTTGAACGTTTCGATAGAAAAATGTCTCTCGGATAGTCTGAATCGTTCCCTAAAAAATAGCAAGAATTTCGATGAGCGCGAACTAAAAAACAGGTACAACTAAATTTTATTCGATTCGCGGTCAGCCTGCGCGTGCACCTATACATTGTACACGGGCGCGCAAGGACAAGACCACTCAGTGGCCAATTGCATAAACATCAAACAACAATGTTTCTCTTACTTTTTTTATCTTCGTATAATCATTCGTTGGTTTAACAACAAATTACTTTCGATATATATTATAAAAATAAGGTATCAAACTTTGCGCCGAGGTACACAGCCATTGTGACTACATGCTTAATTTAAGTTGTCCCCTAAAGCCCAAGTTTTCCTTTCTCTTCCCCGTTAACCGGTTTTTCGCTCGGAATTATTCCAAACACACCGATTCAGGATAGTTTCAAAGTACTCACTTTTGTACGCTATATAATTATGCTGGATTATCCTCCATCAAAGTCCTTTAATTTTGATGAGATTTACCTTTCACCCCCTATTATCAAAGAGACACAACACCCGGTCTCATTACAGAACAGAGGACACGATGTTTCTATATTCGTCGTGCGCTTTGTAAAAACGGGTGTACGGCTTAATTTTTATGCAAAAGGCCTTACATTTTGAAGAGCGTTGCCTGTACATACGTATATATATATGCAAAATATAAATAAATTATCAAATATGAAAACGTTAACCCACCCCCCTTCTATACGTTTCGTGCATTTCGGGAAAGCATTAAATGACGTTTACATAGTTTTTTATCTCAAGAAGATTAATTACTTTTAAGGATATGACCACGATTATAAGCCTACATTTGCTGGTCATATTCTACATCCAGTAATGATTATATCAATATATCATTGCTAAATAACTACTACTACTTGAAAAAACTCGACTGGAATGTGCCTCGAAGATCACTGATATACAATAATTAATTTTTTCGTTCCTTTTTCTTTCTCTAGAACGTTTGATAGTTTGGTTTAAATATTTATATTCTCCAATAAAATAATAAATTATCCACTGCTCTGTCTCTATTTCCTTTTTCTTTCTTTCATCGATAAACTCAAATGATTTTCCTTCGCAATGCATTGAATCGGCACCATTCCAGAAAAAATAATAAATGACAAAGAAAAGAAGAAACATTATGTTACTTATATATTCAAAAGAGACCCAACCGTCTACACAAACCGTAAATATTTAGTGGGCCAGATATAAACAGGAAAAATCGATTTCTTACTTAGCCTGCACTCTTACCGACTTGTACCCTGCAAAGCGTCACTGCTGCACCGGTGTGGGCGGATAAGGATAACTATATGGCGGCACAGCTTGGAACTGACTGTATCCCATCGATTGATAAGCGCAGGCGCCGGTATTCGGTGGTGGACGATTCGTCTGGAAAAACTTGTTGTTAACGAGGCTTTGCATCCCAGAATCAGTATGCCCACCAGCAGATGGCATCATGAATGGAGGCGGTATAGAGTATACGTTTTGTCCACCGGCTGTTTGATTCGTGTTATAAGCGTTCTGACGGCTATGGTAACGATTTCCCTGGAAACTTGCTGTTCTTCCATGGTATCTAGGTATATTTGCATTTTGATAGCTAGCTTGATAACTGTTGCTAGTTTGACAGCCGTTAGTATAGGTACTCGATTGCCGCTGGTGTTGTTGCTGTTGATGTTGTTGCTGCTGCTGCTGATGTTGTTGGTGTTGTTGTTGCTGCTGCTGCTGATGTTGTTGGTGTTGTTGTTGCTGCTGGTGCTGATGTTGCTGCTGCTGCTGCTGATAATTAGATTGGAAGCTATTCTGGCGACTGGTCTGGTATCCATTTTGTTGGCGTACAACAGATCTCTCTTGATTGTTAGCATTAATGTGCTGTGTGTTCTGAACATGTTGACTTTGCCAATTACTCGAAATTGGGCTGCTATTATTTCTCGGACTTCCAGTTGAGCTACTGTCCTTATTAGAACGAGAGTGACTCCAACGTTGACGACCCTTCCCATACGCGGGTTTTATCGAATTTGCTAAATCGGTCAACTGCGGATTTATCGCCTGACCGGCTTCTTCTAAAACAGAAATCAGTTCTTTCGCTTGTCTAGCGTTATTAGGTGTAAAGTAGGCATATGCCGTGCCTGCACTTTGGCAACGTCCAGTTCTTCCTATTCTGTGAATGTAGTCTTCGGAACTGTTTGGGTAATCGAAATTAATTACATATTTCACATCTTCGACGTCCAAACCACGAGCAGCGACATCAGTAGCAACAAGGATCATCGTCTTTCCGTTTCTAAACTCGGATAATACGTAGTCTCTCTCAGGTTGTGATTTGTCACCGTGAATAGAAATAGCTGGCCAACCCTCCCGTTTGATAGCTTTGGTGATATCATCTACTTTCTTTTTCGTCTCAACAAAAATAATCATCTTGCTACCTCGATCTTTGCCGATTTCTCTAAGAAGGCTCGACAGTTTCGATTCTTTTTCGTGCTCTTGACAAATCTCTACAATCTGACGAATATTGTGATTGGCGGCTAACGTTAGAGAACCAATGTTAATTTGAATGTAATCTGAGAGAAAATCTTCAGCTAAAGCTTGTACTTCTTTCGGCCATGTTGCAGACCACATCAACACCTGCCTGTCAGGTCTAATTTGTTCAATGATCTTTCGAATTTGCGGTTCGAATCCCATATCCAACATCCTATCTGCCTCATCCAATACGAGGTATGTGCATCTGCGCAAGTTCGTGGTTCCCTTCTCGAGAAAATCGATCAACCTACCGGGAGTAGCGATACATATCTCGACACCACGTTCTAAATCGCGGGCTTGAGGCCCTTTCGGGGAACCACCGAAAATGCAAGTATTACGAATGCACGAGGAGGAACCAAAGTCCCTAGCAACAGTTTGAATTTGTTGAGCTAACTCTCTTGTTGGTGCGAGTATCAGAACGATAGGACCGTCTCCCCGGTTCAAACGTGGTTGACTATTAATGTGTACAGTTGCGGGTAAAATATACTGAAAAATATCCATAACAAAACTCTTTTAATACTTGTCGAACTAAAAATGTTTCGTTTAAAAAGCAATAAATTCTTTAGGTAAAGTAAACTTTAATTCCTAGAAATGTAAAATTCTATGAAACCATAGAAAAAATATTTCTAAAAGTATATTTAAAAAATGATACCAAAAGCCCCAACATATACTTACTAGAAAAACTTAAAAATAATTAACGTTAATACTAGTTAAAACATTGTTTTATAACATTAAACAGAAAAGTTAATTGAAATTTCGATATTAAATTCCAGCAATTTTCATAAACAATTCATACAATTACACTTCTCGTACTCATTCCTGATTAGGAAGTTCAAATTATTATTTCTTATAAATTAAATCATTTAAATTCTTAAAATAATAAACAGATTACATTTCATAATAGCCTAGTAAAACTGGAATATTATTTTCTTGTATATAGTAAATAAAGCATTAAAAAAGAAAATAGAATATTACATTCGCTATTTATCAATAAGTTTGAAGAAATTATATTAAAATACGTACAGCTAGAGTTTTTCCAGATCCTGTTTGAGCAATACCAACCAAGTCACGTCCACTGAGTGCAATTGGCCAGCCTTGTGCCTGGATTGCTGTTGGTTCAGCAAAACCCTGCTTCCTTATCTCTTCCATCACATAATCTGGGAAGTTACTTTCTTCGAATGCTTGAATTGGAGAGGGAGTATTGTTTCCTTTTACTGTGATTTCTTTACCAATATGGTATTTGTTAACATCATCAGTTGATCGTTTTAAAACATTGACGTGTGGAATATACAAATTTTTTGTGATCACTGGTAACTTGGCTAAATCCCAAGTAGGTTTCTTCAATGAATCTCCGGGAGTTCTTCTCTGAACCTGCTTTTTAATTGACTTCTCCTTTTGTGTATGTTGCTGACTGTTCCAATATGTTCCCCCTCCATTTCGACTACTAGTATCTCTACTTCCCCTGGGTCTGTAACTAATTATTTCCAGAAGATGGTATTGGCATTGTTGTACCATATGTTTAATGTTTAATATTGAATTTAAAGCATTGACATGAAATGTTAAGAAACATCCAACTTTGTATGAAATATATATTTCAAAAATATATTAACCATTAACAAATTTAAAATATTATGTATAAATCATTGTTAATAATATAATATTAACGAAATAAAATATATGACGTATCATAAAATAATAGTCTAATGTAAGAACATCAATAAGATGATAATTTAATGTAAGGATATCAAGTAATTCATATATTTACAAAAATAATTTTTATGCTTTAATTTTATGATTGTCAGTAGGTTTCCATTAGATAATGGTACGGCCATTTTATTTTTTTATGATGCATTCAATTTTATTAAAAAAAATCCATTTTTGATACATATACGTATATATCAGTTTATCATATTTTGGAATAACGACTTTTATTAAAATGCGCAATTATTAATTTAACGTACAATTAAATAAGTCGCTAAACGTAGCAATCAAGAATGTTCACGAACAAAATGGTGGAGAGCACGATATTGCAAAAAAAAGTTTCTCCAGTTTCAGCATTTCACAACGTACGGTATTGCCATATTGAATCTTTAAAAGGTAAATTTAAGGCAACGTACCTGGCATGATTGGAATAACTATTGTTATACATCTCGGCAAAAGTTCGGAAGAATATGCTGACACACTACCAGTTCCGTAGGAACGATCTTCGATTTTTCAGAAACTATGTCAGTTGTACCAGTTACACCTGTGATCAAAAATAATTGTTCCAAAAATCTAATAGGATGAATTTATATTTGAATATATCTATTTTGTAGTAATTTTATACCAAATGACAAAAAATTCGTGGGAAAAAGATAGGAAGATTTGTACGGACTTACCCTGCAAGACCCGGCAAGCAGAGCAGTAATGGCTGACAGGCACTGGGAAGACGGAAACGAGCGACTGGGCAATGCTTCCGCTTCTGACTATACAGGTTACACGTACACATATAAAGGGAGACATTTTATTGGTTCGTTCTTGTGTAGAATTGTGACGCTGCCACGTTGTCCAATCACAGCACGACAGGATAAATCAATGAATTTAGGTGTGTTATATTTATCGAACATAAAGGCAGGTCTTCATGGGTAGGACAGGATGAAAGTAAATATAAGAAATTATGAAAACGATTAAATATATTTTCACTTTATCTAAATTTTATAGTAACCAATTAGAAGTTTCTTCGGTATAAAAAAATTACTTTCTTTATTCAATAACTGTAATAATTATTAAATAGTAAAAATATTACTATAATACATATCTTCTTTTATAAAATAATTATGGACATGACATTTCATTTGAAATAACATTTCATTAAATTAGATTAGCATTTTATTAATACCTAATAATATAATTAGTTTTATCGATGTATGAATCAAAATATTGTTGTATTCGTAATATATTTATAATTATAGTCTTTTTATAATTTACAATTCTTATCAAGGAAGTTTTTCAATTAAACATAGTCAAAACATATTACTGTTTGCTAAACTTATTCTTCATTGGTCATTTGAAATAAATAAAATTATATTATCCCAATAATTATTTTGAATGAGACTGCAAATCAAACATGTATTGACAAAAATTTTCGCTGTAATATGAAATGTGAAATGAATTCGCTGAATTTCTTTCTTCCTTATATATATATATATATAAAACTGCAAAACTGGTTGCACTTGCACCACCCATCCTACATATATAGCATCGCACCACAGCGAGTAGCACGAGTGGTAGGGATAGTATCGGTGTAGCTTTAAACTTCTCGTTGCGCGAATGCGGATTAGTATGGAAGAAGCTGTTGGTAGTGCTGCTTTATTTAACCTTGAAAATTGTTCATTTTATTTTTTAATGTATTTTTCTTTTATGTAGCATACCTTTTTGATTGGAATTAAGATTTTTATTTGTTGCTGTAAAAGTATAACTTGAAGAATCTATTCAAATACAGTTTAATGTAATAAACATAAAAATAGAAAATTTCATCAGTTTTATTTTAGCTCGAGTAATATCTACAGTATTATCTGTACAAAGGCAAATTCATAATTATTTACACATAAGAATAATTTTTAATTCGTGTACAAAGAAACTTAGTCATTAAAATGTATATATATTTGTATCATTTATCTGATTTAATACGATAAAGGAATTATGCATGAAATATTTTATGCGGGTAATCGTTTTTCATTCATCAGTTTGATCAGATGATCTCGAGCGAGTAAATATTACAAGTATTAAATGCAAATTAAATGCGATATGATCTTTCCTTGCATTTAAATTCCCTATTTTTATACACATACTTCATTTGTATATTTATCTTTTTTTATAAGAATTTTTCAAACAAAACAAATACTTCATTTCGAAATTTTTCCAAATATATTACACATTTGGTTAAGATTCCAGATAACCTAAAGACTAAAATTTCCTAATGGCCTAAATGTCGTTGACAATATTTATTAGCAGCCAAAAATCATTGAGCTTATACAATGTAAATAAATTAACGAAGTCCATCATTATAATCTTGAATAAAAATGAAATAACTGTTTAGATATATGTTTTATTCCACCTTGATATATACGATTAAGAATAAAATTTGTCTTAATAATGAAACGTTTTCATCGATTATAATGATGATTAATCGCTCGGTGCGTAAGCGCTGTAATAACAAAACTCGGTATTCCCAAGCCTTTGTCTAAAATCAGCAGAAACAAAATTATATCTAGTCTTTATCGGAGGCGTATTTGCATAAATCAAACGCCTTTTATTATATTAACACGGATTTCCTTTTATATTGTTGATGGTTCACGGTGAAATATTTTGTTCTATGTATGTATATACAAGAATACACTATTTCCCATACTTTTCTTTTTCCTCTTGCAGAAGGCTCTTCTTCAAAATAGTAGCTTCTATCGAAACGTGTAACTTCGCGTTTATTTCCTATTACTTACTTCCGTCTAAACTAAATACTTAAAAGATTTTCGTTGATTTGCGTCCATTATTTTCCAAATTGCTCCCATACATCATGAAGTTTTATACCTTGATTTCCAAATACCATTGAGTAAAAATTAATTTATGTAAGCGCATAACAAGTATGCTTTATTTGTTTCTTACAAATAACAAATAAACTAATTACCATTTGTATATTTGCATTATTCAAAATTTTGTAATAAAAGAAACGAACGAGGTTTGTTATGAATGAATTTTATATTTTATATAAACATTATTCAAGTATCACTCTTCACAGTAACTGTTTCAATTTGTTAGAAAGATGCGTCTTATAATACGAATATTTTTTCTCCAGATTAACCTGAAAATAATTATGTCTGTATTAACATCAAATAATATAAGGCAAACATAACAAATTAATTTGTTTTTTCGAACAAAAAATAGATAAAATAAAATTTAAATTGCATAATATATAAATAAATGTATATTTGGATAATCAAATGAAGAATTGAAATCAATAACGACGAATAAAATTTTGTTCGAATAATATCTGGCGCCAATTTTGATTTAAGTAGAATTTACAAGAAAAAAATCATTTGCATAACTAACGGTAAAGATATTGACACAGTTACAGAGGGAATCGCGCTGGTAATCGATTTTCTATTTATATGACGCACAAATAATTATCAGCAGGATCTTTCTTGCGGGTTTCGCGATCCTTATCGGCTGAATCGATTGTTGTGGCTCCGATTGAAGGCACATGGATAAAACCACATAATACTGCATAATGGAATAGGTATGCGTCAATAAACATACGGAACTTACGATTCCTGTGACCCGTATCATCATCGATTGTTCAAATTTTCCAATGCTACGTAATTTATTACCTGGCCACTGATGTTTAATTCTGAACACGTATTACAAACTATGACGAATTTTGACAATCAATGATAATTTGGAGAAAATTAATAAAGTAGGAGCATTTTATTTGATTAAAAAAAGATGTATATATTTTTTTTTAATCTTCAAATAAGAATTGTGTTTAATTAAAATATATGTATATATGTATGTATGTAAAAAAGGAAAAAAATACCGTTTGATTGAATCCATTGAAAAATGATTAAAATTTATACATTTGTTATGTCAGGAAAAGCATTTGACATAACATAGGTTGAGGTTATGATTGGATTTCGTTACAACAATTACACATATCGTGTCACATCAAATTAACATAATTTTATAGTGGACATTGTATATCTAAGCCTTTTTATACAATTGGACATTGTCAATGAAATTATACAAATCACGAATTAATAGTTACCATTGGTAATAAATTTTCTTGTATAACAACAATAAGTTTGATAATAAAATAATCAAAATTTTAGAAGTAAATTTTGCAAATTACAGGTTAGATATTTATCTTATTTGATATAAAATTCTCAAATTCTAAAAACTATTTGTCTAATAGAATTTATAACCTACAATTTGTAACTTGTTAATGTACTAATATTATTAGTTGGTCAAATATTATGTAAGAGGACCCTAAGAAATTCTTCACTACCACATCAAATGAAAATATTGTTAATGAAAATGCGATGCAAATAAAATTAATTTGAAAATTAAATTTCATTTAATAAATATAACCATAAATTAATGTTATTATTACATTTTGCGTTATATTAAAAGAGACTGTTACAGTATGAAATTATGTTCCAAATATAATTATTATCTAAAAATATATCTAAAAGTACATATGGTAAGTCACGCAATTGTGGCGATCTATACGCCGGCTATAAAAAAGAACTAATGTAACAATATTTATTCTTTTATGATCTTACTATATTTTTTTGAAGAGAATAATAAGCATTGTATAAATATTTCATTTCATGTATCGTTTGTTCCTATTATATGTGTTAATAATGTTCATGTACCTATATGGTATATAATTGTTGCGTTTAATAAATTTAATACTTACATCATTTTATGAACAAAAGAAATCGAAGTCTTAAATAAATCTTCTTCCGAATGAAAAACGTCATCAAATAATATTAAACTTTTCTAATACGTCACTAGTGGCTACAGATATCGATAAAATCCTAGAAATAAATTCTCCAAGAAAGCTGTCCATTCATGGTTAACTATATATAAGTAGATGTATCACTGTTGATTTTGATGACATCTTGATTCATAAATTGATATCTATAAAATTTACTGACATGAATCTGCACTTTAATATATATCACTATCAAAACAAATATTATCTATTGCTTAGAACAAGTTTATATCTAATTTATAATTCTGAGGATTTATATATTTTACATCTTTCTTTGTCAAAGAGTATTTGTCAAACATTATTGATTTATAATTTAAAGGATTCATGGATCGAAATATAATGAAAGTGGACATCTCGTAAATTCTACCGAAAAATCTAATTTTAAAAAATAACAGAAAAAAAGAAATTCTTATTGAAATATTCCTTTCAAAGCATATAATTAATGTATATTCTTGTTTATGTTCCTCGAAAATTACTAAGGTATTATTAGGGTCTCCACTAACAGCATAAAAATGACATGAATTTCAAAGGATAATTACCTCAAACTTATTATTCCTTAATACATTTATTTACATTCCTAAAAAACCATCAATTTTATTAAAACGTACTTCCATTTTCTTGAATTTACTCCATTACACATTATTCCATAGAAAGAAAGATTCGAAATAAATAGATTATTTCAAATTAGTCACGAAGCAATTGACACATATGTATTAGTTATGGTATTATTTCGGTTCATTATGCCGATAACCTTTTTTCACTTTACAAAGTGCATTTTTCCAGTGAATTTCGTCTTGTCCTGCAATTGGTAAAGTATTGATAAATTACGTTTAACTGTAATAAAAGGATTAATTCAGATTTATTATTATCCACGAATAACATGTAAGTATTCTAATCTTTATTCGTTGAAGTACCGTATGTATTATTTATTCCGACATATAACATTTATACACATACATATTTACTATGTACAGCATCCGGGTGTGAACCTATTACGTTTCAATTGTTTGTTTGTTGCAAAAAAATGACCAAGAAAGACGAAAATGTTAACTCTTATCTGTTTCACAGGCGTTATCAAACCTAACCCAAATTGTGAAACGGTTCCGCTGGGAAGTCCGTTGGTCAATATTAGCATAAATTGTTTGCCATAGGCCAATCAGATTGACGATATCTGGACTACAGAGGCGTCCCTAGAAAGAGACTTGCATGTTTCTCGTTTCCGTACACGACCTGGACGAACGTTACACGGGGAAGCGGCAGAGTGGAACCCTGTAAATACAACGGAACCCAACACAGGCCGAAGCGAGTCAGTCGGGTCGTAACTGTTGATCGATTCGCACGTCGGGCACCGTGATCTTTCCACCGGCAAAAATACACACGCAGCAGGCCTTCCTTGCTTTTTGTCAACTGAACGTGACATTTTATTTAATCGATTATCACGCATCACGGGGATCTTGTGAACTAGGTCGAACTTTTGCGACGAATCGACATTACCGGTGGACCGTGGTATTTGAGTGTACACGGTTGGTAGGAGAAGGACGCGACATTTGAAAGACGTAGAAGGACTTGGGGACATCTCAGAAGGTATGTAAGAGAATGATACCAAGTATATCGTAAGGTTGTGGGGTATTTAAGGGAGGTCGGGGTTTTCGTGACTGGCATGCGGAGTTAGAAAGGATGAGCTAAGAGAGTAAAATGATATTTGAAGTTTGAGAGACACAATAGAATTATCTTAAAGGTTCTGACGAACTTACCGACAAGTAATATTGAACGACTTAATGTGACTCAATAATCTTTCGTTTGTTATTCTTGGAACTTTTTTGAAACCTTGAGATTTAAATGTTAAAGAGTGTTTCTTATTTCAAGGATTAACTCTTTGTATTCAATGAAAAGTTATGTCGAATCGGACCTGTAAAAATTTGTAGATTATTATATCGATATGACATCAAGTAAACCTCAGTAATAACCATAATGGTAAACAGAAGAATAACAGTAATAGTACTAAATCGTTCCGCTTGTTGTCGGTCCACACGAATTCTAGCGGGTGAATGTAAATTCCTAGGATTTGCAAAATCTCAGTATTTACTGAGTCGGTTTCGAAGGGAGCAGACATCCATGCGATCGTCTCGATGTTCACTGTTTTCTGCAACTGAATATGCGAGGGCTTGCTCGACTCGCGCCAATTTCATTCGAAACAGAAGCCAATCAAGGGCACGCTGCTCATAATCGGAATATAATTCGAGGCAATTCAGCTATATCTTCATTTTATATCAATTATCTTAATGTGTTCTATAACGATTATGTCTTCTTCGTCGTTAATTTTTTATTACAGTGGGTGAGAGTAGTAAGTAGTGATACATACAGTTTGTTTAAAATATCTTTACACATTGAAGTAATATATTGATGTTGAGTATATCGTTTAAAGCTGTTCAATCAATTCAGAGTTAAATATGAGACATGGAAGTCAAACTGATCAACTGCATACAGGTCAATTATTTGTTATTTGAAAAATGTAATACTAATCAGGTATGCTTATACTAATTGAGATATTTTTAGAAACTGGTGTCAATCCATTGATTTCTAAATGACTCATCTATGAAAGATAGTAAAAAGTAATTTTTTTACTTTTCTAGGAAGTGTATTGTATACACGTGCTGCCAATGCGCGTTAAGGTTAGAGTAAGGTATAATTAAAGTGTGTTAAGAAATATTTCTTCACAATAACATTCATTCTATACACACGTATATATACATGACAGTATTCTTTAAGAGGTTAAGATACAGAAATAATGTCTTATTTCAAGACACTAAATAACGCAATTTAACGAGATTATGAGAAGAAAAGAAAAATTTCCGAATTAATTATTATCTTTATATAATTGAACCACTTAAAAGCCAGAGTCAGACAGATCAATTTCATTGAGATTAATTACTTGTTCTCTGAGGAATTCATAACGCAGAAACGAATAAAATGATCATGTGCTATACCATGCTTGTAGCTTCCATAAAGCAGGATCAATTACTTCAACTAGTCGGAGTTAACTTTATAGCGTGTAATATATAAAAAGGTATGCTTTCTGGACGTTGTTCGAAGCTGTTATTTATCTGTAGTATCGACTATATTTATGCATGCGTGATTAAAACGGCATCCTTTTGCAATCAGTATTAAGGTCATCATACACGTTGTGGAAAATAGATAAATTATAGATGTGTCGATCGGTTGTTCTTTATCTTCTGCTTCGTCTATCTTATAAAGGAAAAAATCCGGATCGTGTCTGAGCTATCATTGTCCAGAGATGAATCTTTCCAATAAGGAAAGGATGAGCAATTATAGAGGGTCATCGAGTTCACGATCATCGTGGAATTCCTAAAGCTGTCTGCTTGGGAATTTTATTACAAACCGAGATATTCATCGTGACTATATGTGGTAATGAAATAAAAGAGTCGAGAAATACAGAGAGAAAGAGATCGCATGTATTGTCGTGATTGGAAAATCGAGCTTCCAAGGAACGTCGATCGTGTACAGTCATCGATGCAATTTTGAGATAGACACCTGTTTCCAGGAATGTCGATAAATGGTATCGAAGGTCAAGATACTTTAGATGTGAAGATTTCGAAGCCTGATAGTTCTTCGGTATTTAAATATAGTATATGTCGTATAGTATATACGCTATATTTTGGTACATATAGACTATTGGTTCTCGTGTTAAACATTTTATAAACATAACCATTTCCATACACGATCATCTGTTGTATCTGGAACAACAGGTCTAACGAATAAGTACGTTTATTTTCCGAAACGACGTTTCCTCGTATCTCTTCTTTCTGCATCCATAAACGTCTGCCAAGTCGTTAATGCATTTTTATGATACATTTCTTGGCAGTTGTCTAACCATTTCGTGCGTCTCGAGCGACTGTGAACTCGTGGCGCCTCCTCTCTATCACGCATTCTCATTCATCCTGCAGCTGGCTTCAGATGACATTCGACGTGGGTTTTCCCACTGACAAATGTGTTCTCGCACACGAGTTTATCGCCTCCGATCGTCAATGACGCGTGCAACGCGCCATCCGATTGTGTGGGATCTTCATACACAACTGGATACCTAACACTAGCCGTGTGACATAGACGCAATAGCCCGAATAATGTCGCTGCTTTCACGGACATTTAATAACGATAATAGTTACTGGCATCGTTAGCCATGTCTCGAAGATTGACATACGTAGCGAACGTTCTACATCGATTTTTCTCGGTATCTTTATTAAATTACGAATTCGTTACAGCAGGTTAAAAATTATGGAGAATGAGTTCACTGCAACACTCTTCGAACGAGCTCCATTTTTAATTTCTTTTTCTTAGGCAAAATATATTTTTACAATATATACTTAAGTTTCTTATATTAATCTATTTTATATAGATTTTATATTATTTTATTTTAATTATTTTTTCGTAGGAAAGAAATAACGTCATGATCGAAGATCATTATGATGTGAGATAAGGCGAAAACAAATTGGAATTTCGCTCGTGAATTTGCGTGGAAGCCGAACTCTGTTTCTGGTAACCATGTGTGTTGGACGTTTATAGGAAGCCACGATAATGCATGTAAATAGGAAATTTGTGCCGCCATGTGTTTGCAGCGGATCGATAATGGCGTATGGAAAAAATCCGCGACATATCATTATAGGAACACGATTAATTAAAAATAATACTGAAACCGATATTCAGTATTGTTTTATCAGTCAGTTTACATTCTCCTCGCTTCGCTACCTTACTATTCTCTTTTTTTCTTTTCATTTTTAGTTTTTATTCCATTGACGAGCACTGGAACGAGATGAGCGACCTCTGTAACCTTCGAGTTCAGGAAGTTGCACATTGTTAAAAGCGGAAAGATAAAACCAGGGCCGAAATGAGACTTCCGGAGGCCCTAAACGCTTCAGTGCAATATTTTCTTTTGTCTTTTCTTTTTATTCCTCGCTTTGCACGTACACGCACACGAGTATTTGACGATACTCTTGCCATGTGTATATGTGGAAGATTTAAAGAATCGAAGGATTTCTATGGTGTCC